TACCTATACTTCTGAACTACCTCGTATTATTAAAACTTTTTCTTTTACTAGTCAACTATATGCAGATGATTCTTATATTTATACTTCTTTTTCTCCATCTAATCTCAATAGTGTTCTTTATAATTTAAATTCATGTCTCCCTTCTAATATTGCTAGGCATGATTTTATGTATGTTAAACTATTATTTATTCTATTACTATTCCTTCTATCACCTAACATGATTCTAAAACTCTAGATGTTTCTCATAAGTTTGGTAGTCTAAGCTTTATGTTTGATTCTAGCATGTCTCTTTCTTCTCAGATTAATAGTGTTGTTAACAGTTAAAAGTTCTTACTATCATCTACGTAGAATTAAAAAAAATGTTTTCTACTCTTGACGATCCTACTCTTCTCCTTCTTGTTACTCCTTTTGTTTTATCTAGGATTGATTATTGTAACTCGCTCTACTATGGTCTTCCTGATTCTATACTCCATCCTTTAAATAAAACTTTTGTTTCTGCTGCTCGTCTAGTTGCTTGTGCCCTTATCTTTTCTCATATATCTCCATATCATGTTCTCTTGCATTGACTACCTACAAAATGTAGAACAATTTTAAAATTTGCACATCAATGTATAATAATCATTCTAAATTATTTATTATGTACTCATCAGATATATTAATTGAACCTAAACGCCCCGGTTTACGATCGTCTTCTTGTTCTCACTTCTTCTTAACTCGTGTTAAACACTCTTGCTAAATCTGCGTTTGCTTTTTGTGGCTCTCTTCTCTGGAAGTCTCTACCTCCTTCTTTGACTACTTCTCCATCGCTTGCGATGTTCAGAGCGGATCTCAAAATCCATCTGTTTTGAAAATTCACTGAGGAGCTCAGTTAAACATCGCCGAAATAGAGCTTTACAAGCTGATTGATTGATTGACTGATTGCTTATATGTCTGAGTCTCCATCAATTTGTAAATACCTGACGGTAAAAATAATAAAAACATCCTTATCCAACTCAAGTATAATTATTTTTTCAACGTTTTGTCACTTATACGCAATACAAACGATTAAAAAATTTTTTTCACGAAATAACAAGTGGAAATATTAATGCAAAACATTTAACGCTGCACTTACTCTTAATGTCAAAATAATTTGCAAAAATAAATTAAACAAAAATTATTAGAATTCCAACAAAAGAAACCAAGAGAGTAAATAATGCACAAGAAATGTGAAGTGGATAAGATACAGACTTTCAGGCAGAGTGTGCACATCAGTGGAAGAACTCCACGGACCAGAACCAACAGCCGTGTACGCCCGCACTTGGTATGTGTATCTAGCCCTACTCTCCAGGTTGCTGATCAAGAAGAAGTTCTCCGTCGTGTTGGTCATCCAATCGTCCATCGTCTGGTCCGACAACTCGCGTATCTGTAATGAAAATTATTTACATCAATACATGCACCGATGTATATAAACAAATTTTTTAAATTTTTTTTAGCATACATCAAAACTCATAACTGTACAATTGTACATATATCTGTATCATCCATTCTACATCACTATCTTTACATACGCTTCTTGTACGATGTAAAGAGGTAACCGATATGTACAAACAAATGTACCTGAACAATTCAGTTCCTGAACAATGAAACCTTAAGAAAAAGTAAAAAGAAAATGGAATGGACTGCTCACTTCATACATGACGATCCTTCCATTTTGGTGGCTGATCATCGGAGGTGCCCATGTCAACTTGAAACTCTGCGATGTGATATCCGTAGAAGATACATTAAGAGGGGCACCCATGGGAGCTGATGAATTGTTTGAGTTGATCAGTAATTTCAAAGGTAGTGGAAATGGGAATGCAGAAAAATGTCAACCCGCCCAGTTATAATTCTCATTTAAACTTGCAAATAAAAATCCAACAACCATTAATAAACATTATAACCATTATTAAAAATTACAGAAAATTAAAATATCAATCTTATATTAACAAACTATGCCGTCATACAAACCATAAAACTTGCATCTAGCTAATGCATGGTACCTAATATAAGCTAGAAGTTGGGTAATAAAAACAAACTTTAAACTTTTTTATGACACATACCTTTGAGCGTTGTTAAAACAACACACATACATACATAGGTAAAACATTTGATAAAAGTTAAAGAAAAACATAAAATGTGTACAGTATGAAGCTATAAAGTGGCGTTAAAAGTAAACTAAGTAGCAATACCACAAAATTTTATTTGCATTGTACCATTGCAGATCTGCTTAAAATGAATTAAAAAAGAATTCCTTCAATAAAAACACTATCAACATCATCCATGCATACACAACTATCAATCAATCAGTCAATCAACTAACATACATGGAACAACTAATAATGAATCAACCTACGAAAACAAACAGGCCAACAACCAATCAACCAACAAACCAACCTCCTTCTGGTGTGACGACACAACCCACCGCCTCCTCACCCCACTCCTCATCTAGGCTCTTCGCTGACACCGACAGTTCATACTCTACACCTTTTTCTGTTATTCACATATTTTCCTTATTATTATTTATATAAGTTGCGTGTGCATTTGCACGTGTGAGCAAGATACACACATGCATGTATGTTTTCAACTGTAATACATTTAATGGTAATTTAAAACAAATTCCCAATACCACCATCAAGCCAACATATTCAATTCACAAAGGAAATGTTCAACCAACCAACCGACCCAGATATCTCGTTTGGAACTTCAACCTGTTGCCTTCTACGAATTCCTGATTCATTGTGTGTGGTTGCCCCTTAATTCCATACTGCACCTGCGTGTTTGCATGTCGGTATTAGTATTTTATTATAGGCTCTGTGCAATGGCAAATTCACGTTAACGTACAACAAAGTCCCCACACAAGAGAAAGGTTTACGAGGAAGATGAACAAATGGATTAATCTAGTCATCTACAAAATGTTTAAGGATTAATATAAACAAAATCATTTAAAACTTGACTGAGCCATTCCTTGTTCCAAAAAGTATTGTTTAAAATAGCAATAAAATATAGGATAAAAAACTTTTAAACATTTAACAGCCTGTAGTGTAAATGATAAAACATGGATTCCCATTATAAACACAAGTTTTCTTTCTTACATAAAACTACATTTAGACTTAAATAGCAGATCTCAATATTAATCCATCTTAAAATAAATATTCAATTGAAAAACGTAAAAATTAAGTTGAAGGAGTCGAATTATGAATAAAGTGAAAAGTAAAAATGAGAAGCACTTCCTCACCTTGTACTGATTTACGGGAACAACAGTCTGGGGTGGTTTCCACGTTGCCAGAATGGAAGGTCTTTCTCCCAATGTCAAGGTTAATGTGAGGTTGCGTGGGGCATCCATGGCTGTTCAAGGTTGGTTAAGAAGAAGAGTAACATGAATTCGTGAAGAAAAACAGACTATAATCGACATCTCTTTTTGGGGTAATTCCGATAAAATTAAAAAAAAGAACTTAAAAAACAATCACTTGAAGGAAATTTGACAGACGAGAAAGAAATAGGCAAGCAAACAGCTGATTACATTGAAATGATAAATTCATAATTTCAGCATGCAATCTGCTATCAAAAATAATCAGTTAACAACAATATTCTGTTTTAACAACAGACGTCTGCAACAAACGCCAGCTACAAAGCTAAAAAATTATTTAGTTTGGAACTTTTGATTAAGATTGTAAGATGGTATTGTAAGATTGTAACGAAAGATTGTGTTTTAAGATAGTAATGTAAGATTGTAATGAAAGATTGTAGCAAACGTTTGTAATGTAAGATTGTAATGAAAGATTGTAATGTAAGTCTGAACCTTGATGAGCAGTAGTGATATTCTTTCCATCACTTTTTTCCCCATCTCCCATCCTGTTGTATGCTGCCACCTGAACCTGATAAGTTGTTCCAGGCATGAGATCAACAACTGTGACTTCTGTGGCTGATCCTTACAAAAAATTACAGTGACGTTCATAAAATAATTTTCATTTTACATTTCATCAACTGAATTCATGCAATCACATAAATTTGATATTAACAAAAAAGCTATTGATTCTAACATATTTGCAGATGAAACGAACACAGAATAAACATCCATCCATTCATCCAGTTATAAGCCAAATTAAAACTTGCAAAGAAAAACACCACAGCCATCATTAATTAAAAGAGATTTACATTTACATATCTTAGATAGCAAGCTCTGTTGTAAATAACATTACATCCACATAATTAATTATACATCACATCCTCATATGAAATAAAAAAACACATATGCATCTCTAGTGACTGCACAATAATGTGGTACAATGAGCAGCAAACCATTGGTAATGTCAAGGACAACTGGGGCAGACTTGTGATTAGTGGCAGATACTTGCATGCAGTAAACCTGATAGCCACGAATCACTCCATTGAGATCGGCGCTGGTGGGGGGCTGCCATTGTACATGTATGCACGTGCTGTTCAGAGCTTGTACTTGCAAGTTTTGTGGCATACCTGGAACTGCAGATCAACAACAGTGTGTGGCGCTTAACACGTTTTACTCAAATGTTGTCTCAACTGAAACTATTTGTAATTATAACTGGAATGATAAAAACAATGAAATACATAATTCAGATTGAAGACAGACTGTAAATTTTTCTCGTTTAAAAATATCAAAAGTAATATGAACAAAAACGTTATAGAATAAAAAACAAATAAACTACTTTTTATACTTTACAAGCAACATGAATGTAAAGTTCTTTTTTAACCATTACATTAATTGTAAAATAAAAAATAACATTTAAATTAATGACATTGAAAAATATTCTAAAACATTTTTATGAAAACATCAATCAATCAGTCACATTAACATAATATAAAAATAAGTTAACAGCAATTATTATTTGTAGCATCGATGTGAAACACAAAATCAAACCATCTTCCCAGGTCTGAACAAACAAGGCATTAGAGCTAGGACCAGAACCATTTGTGGTATATGGAACCACTGATATTGAATAGTTCCTGAACTTTTTGAGAGCTTTGATGAGATAACTCTCTGCAGAATGAGATGCATTATAAACTGAAGAGCACTCATTGGACAGTTCCTTCAATGGCACTTCATTTACACATATTTTAAATCCTTTCACAGAAGTAAGATGCTTCTTTTTATTTATCACCTCCCAAGTTATCTTCACCGTTGTTGATGACAATGCTTCTGCTTTCTTTAACCGTATCTGGTGATCTTATGCAAATATATAACCTATCTTTTAGCTGATTTATCCTCAATTAAAACATTTGTTAAAATGTTAAAATGCATTCAATTCATCAGCTGAAGACACTAAAACATAATGGTATTAATATGTAAACCGTGGAAACATTATTCAAACTAAACCAAAAAAAAACATACTTAACCATTAACTTATAAAGTACTTTTCTCAGTTACACAGAAAAAAATTAAAATAATACCATAATAAAAATTGTAATTTAGACAGAGACTACTAAACAGTGAAATTATTAGCTAAAAATTAAATAAATTTATAGAATAAAACATAAATTATAGGTATATACATGATGAAAAGTAACTTATTGAGAAAATCAAAAATCAAAAACCCAACAAACCTTGAGTTGACATCAAGTTTTTTGAATCATCACTCATATAACCCTCATCTTGTGCATCATCTGCAGAAGACAAAAATCCAAGTCATTCAAAAAATAATAAAATGCAATAAATAACAATAAATACAATTTTTTTTATATATAAAACTTGAGTTTTCAAAACATGCAAACCAGTCAACAAAAAAAAAAACCAAATGCTGAATGCCAATGAGTAAGTATGTTTGATATTTTTAGCTAATTTATTTAACAAGTAACACACTTTGTAGCAGGAATGCACATAATTAACTACTGACCTGAAACATGAATGAGAATTTTTGGAGAAAAAACAATTCCATGCTTGCTTTCCATGGAACATTCATAGTAACCATCATCAGTTTGAGATATGTTAACCAATTGCAACTCTCCTAAAATAAAAAAGTTATTATTTTAATTCAATAGTTTGATTTAAGACTTGAGTTGATGATTAGTTGCTTGAGCCATTGTGAACAATGAAAGCAAAACATTCAAATCAGAGGTTGATGGCAAGAAAAAAATTGAAAAAAACTTTTCTGTAGGTAGATAAATAACCTCATGAATATGTAAATAACAGAACTAGTGATATAGTAAAAAAGGTTTATTAAAGTTGACATAATTAATTAATAATCTTTTGCTTACCTACTTTTATTAACAAAAAAACAAAACCCACTGCATTTGAAAATTTATGGAAGGTTTGCTTTCATACTATCAGACATCCAAATAAATTACACATGTGTATTTTATTCATTTGTATTTTATCAATGTATTGATTCATAACTGTGAACGAACTCAATTCAACACAGAGCTTCATAGTAGCTTTTTAAAGCTTTTTACATTCTGAATGTTTCTGACTATAATATATAGTACTATTAAAATTAAATTTAAAATTGAAATAAATAATAATAATTAATGACATAGTCTTGTAACACTTTTTTTTAATAAAACTGCTAAAAAAGACTGAATGTACTTTTAAAAACAGAGAAGTGAACCAATTTAATGGGTATTTCTTTTCATTAGAAATACAATATTATTACAGTACCGTAGTAATTATTTTTGATAATATGTAACCTTTTTACTTTTCTATTAGTTTATTAAAATATTAGCCAGCTAAACTCTAGTTCTAGCTTGTAGCTACTGCTAGCTGGACAAGGAAGGACAGGCTCAACCTTATTTACTTTATTTTGCTAGCTTACCTTTTCTTTTCTCTTTAGTCCAGTTATCTAATTCTAGTTAAGAAGTAAAACCTGCAAAGCAAAAGGCATTTAATGTTATGTTCACAATGAAATTTATTTTTAAAAAAGACCAATATATTGTTTCTTTATTTTAACAAAGGAGCAGCAAAATCAAAACCTGGAAGTCAAATATGTTTTTAGAATGATTAGAATTAACTAAAGGTTTAACAAAATAGAAAACAACAAAATTATTTTATAAAAGTATAAAAATATAAGCAAAATTTAAAAAAATAGAAACTCATGCAACAAAAGTTAAAAACATTTTTCATTTTCACTTTTTTTTCATTTTTGTATGCAGACGATAATCAAAATTTAAAAATGGACGCCTTTGAAATAAAAACAGGAGAGAAATTAAAGAACAAAGAACAATGAACAAACAAGCTGTAAATTTTATTTCATTCTAAAGTAAACTGAAGCAATGGAAGGACATAATTTATGGCAGTGGGCACAAAATGTTATCAGGTAATTGCGCTCATAGCACTTAACGAGTTTTATTTTATTATGAACCAGCCTCCTCTACCACACCTAAGAAATTAAATATAGTTAGTCCTCGATAACAATGTTATACAACGATTGAACGAACTATATAATTATTTCGAATAAAATCTGTTAAATTATACATATATAAACCGCATACATTTTAAAAATAATGATTTATTGAATCTTTTAACAATTGCTCACTGTACCTATATATTTTACAAATTTCCTTGAATGAAATGGCGTTCACTTTATAATTAATCTGAATGTTGATAAGCAAATTTTACTAAATACCGCCCGGAATGTTATTTGATACTGGCAAACAATGTGCAGATTAAAAAAGATAAATTAGAACTATATTATATGTTACTGTATAGACATACGTTATATCGGATAGCAAATTAAACGGTTCATTTCATAGTATCATTTGATTGCAGTGGTATCTGCCTTGTGTCTCTAGCTGAAGGACGGAGTATGAACGTGCACGCATACAAACATACACATAGAAACTTACGCGGGTGTATATATGAACAAATGTACACACACGCAAAAATACATACGTGTGTAAACATACCCACATGTACATTTTTGCAACATTTTATTGGCATCACAGGCAATCAAGAAGTTTAAAAAAAACTGGTGATGATTGCCTTAACTAAATACATAAGCTCAATAATATGTCAATATTAGCAATACACAAATGTGCAATTTATAAACAGAATAAGCAGCACATACAAATAAATTCAAAACTGTTTCCTAATAAAAAATTTAGCAGAAATCAATTCAAGACTCAAATGCAAACTTATGAATAAAGTAAAAAATCAATAAGACACATAATTCCAAAATTTAGTCAAACTCGACAGCATTTCTAAGCAGACTTTGACAAAATTTTTAAAAGTATTAATCGGCATATCTCTGGCTTCAACACTGGCGATTTTATTCCACAGCTTAATTCCTCCAACTGAGCGATTCTATCATTTGTCATAGTCTTACTTTTAACGGAGCATGCCTACCATTCTGTCTTGTATGTTTCAGTATTCTAATGAGTTAAGAATCTATAGTTTTTGTGGTGTATAACTTTGTATATAAAAACAAGGGTTACAGGTATATTGATTTGATGAATGTTTAATAATTAGATAATAATTTTTCAGCATGATCAATACCTATTCAAAGAAAAGCAAGTGCTTATAAAATATTTTTGCAGTTCTTGTAATTTATTTCCTAAATATTTAAAAGTTGATCCCAGAGTAAGTTGAGTAATAAACCATTATCATGATGTTTGGAGTTAATTTGTAGCGTAATATGGACATAATGCCAATACATGGAAATACACACGTTTTATAAGCATACGGAGACAGGCATTCATACGCAGGAGATACATACGCAAGCAACTACGCAAATATATGTATTGTATATAAAAATATATATTTATAATCTTCTGTTCTAACAGCGGTTACATAATTTAAAAGTGAGCATAAACAATCGGCTGAACAAAGCAAGTGCTTCTTTTTGATTGAGCTGACTGCGTTAATTTCCTTGCAAGAAGATTGCATTTAATCTCCCGGCAATTTGCTTTCTCGGCCGTTAAAGGTCGAACTACTTAACCAACATCCTCTTCAACTTTTAAAATATGCTTTCCAGTCTTTCTTTCTAGGGTTAGGCTTATAATAAAACTAATTTTTAGATTTACGCACCACAAATTTTGACCTGGAATGAATTGGTTCAATATTTTACTTCCTAAAATATCAGTAGGTTTCATGAAACTTCATTGATGATATATATATATATGTGTGTGTGTGTGTTATGTGTGTGTGTGTTTTATATATGTGCGTATGTGTGTTCTTTGCGATGCACATTTGAACTAGAAGCTACTGAAGTTAGAACAGTGAATGGAGCGAGACTTGCATGAAGTGTGTGTGACGTGAGATAAACAACTTGGTACCGGTGGATGTATGAGTTGGAAAATTTTGCTGACGATTTCTCCATGCGTGCATTTCCGCGTTTTGTTAGAACATCAACATATCATGATAGAATATCTTGTATGAGATATTTTCAAAAATTATTCTAACCATGATTGGCAGTTTTGAGGTTGCTGGTCCCGGTTATGTTGAATTTGTTGTGGATGTTGTAGTAGTAGTTGTTGTTGTGGATGTTGTTATTGTCGTTGTTCATCGTTTTGTGGTTGTTGGTGTGCAATGGTATGAAATTTTTGTACCAGTTAACATGGACTTGATCGTTGAGATCGCAATGAAGAGGACATGATATTATTATTGTCTGCCCATTTTTTACCTCAATTTTTATTAATTTGTGGGTGTTTTTGTGGCTGTGGTTGATATTTTTGTGGCTGTGGCTGACGTTTTTGTGGCTGTGGTTGACGTTTTTGTGGTTGTCGATGTGTGTGTAGATGATGTTATTGTTGTTCATGATATTATTGTTGCTATAGTTGTTAATGATTGAGTTTTTCTTAACGTTATCTTGGCCGGTGTTACTGAGAACGACGACGATGTTGTTGTTTTCGATGCTGTTGTTGTTTAAACGCGGGAAGTCTGGAGGAACTGAAAAGAGATAGTTGTTGCTTGATGTGATGGTGTTGTTGGAGTTGATAATGATGATGTTGTTGATGTTATTATCATTATTATCATTATCATCATCATTATTATTATTATTGTTATTATTATTATTATTATTATTATTAGAAATAATAAAACGTCAATAAAAATTATTTGATTTTTTCTATGCAAGCAAATAATTTTAATCTACCAACATTCATTCATTCATTAACCATTTTTATCGAGCCATTCTCATATACCTACTTATAATATTTCACTCAAAAACAAATATATATATGTATATATATATGTATATATATATACATATTATATATATATACATACATATTATATTATATATATATAATACGAATAAAATAGAATATTCGCAAGGTCTTTAGTTATGTTTCAATAAATCTCGCTTCATCTTCTTACGCGGAACAATTTATTTGAATTGTTCTTTTAATTCAACTGCTGCTTGGATTTCGTTATGATGACGATGATGATGATGATGATGGGAAGATTATGATGATGGGATGACGACGATGATGATGGGATGATGATGATGGGATGGATGGGATGATGATGATGATGATGGGATGATGATGATGGGATGATGATGATGATGATGGGATGATGATGATGGGATGATGATGATGATGATGATGGGATGATGATGATGGGATGGATGGGATGATTATGATGATGGGATGATGATGATGATGGGATGACGACGATGATGATGGGATGATGATGATGATGATGGGATGATGATGGGATGATGACGATGATGATGGGATGATGATGATGGGATGGATGGGATGATGATGATGGGATGATGATGGTGATGGTGATGGGATGATGATGATAATGGGATGATAATGATGTTGTTGTGGTTGTCGTTGTGATGATAAGATGGTGATTGCTGTGATGTAGTTAGATGATGATCGGGGTTCTGGCGTTGATTACATTTTTATTAATGTTATTCTTAATAAATCTACACGCATTGATCAAACTATTCAACTTTTATTTTCCCCATATAAAATCCAATTTAGACATTTAACACTCGATATTGTCATGTATGTGGGGCACGAATGCACTGAGTCTCGAAGAATAAATAAATAAAAATATTATTAAATTATAAAATTATTATTAAATTATAAAATATAAAAAACTAATAATATTATTAATTTTTAAGTTATAAAATATAAAAAAACTACTAATAATATTATTAATTTTTAATTACCCTAGTCTGAAAATAACAACAACCTTGTGACCAATATCTGTAAGCAGTCAGAGTGGCATTGTTGGACCGCTTTATCGGACCTCCTAGTTTTCTGTCAACAGGAACTCCGCAGCTGTACACATCCTCCTTCTTCCTGCTCCTCACCGGATCAACTCTCAGGTAGGATAGCATCCCGCGGTCACTCACCTTCCTCATCATCACGTGATGACTGGAATTCCCTCTCAGTTCCACGCCGTTCAAGTACCAACTGAACTTGATCGTTTCCTGTTTAGAGAGTTGGTTGGTTGATGTTGTTGATGTAACTGTTGTCGTTGCTAATGTTATGATTAGTACTATTGTTATTGTTATTTTGATTGTTGTTGTTGTTGTTGGTAGTGTTGTTGTTGTTGTGGTTGTTAGCAGTTTGATCGATAATCTTGATGATGGCGTCAAGAGGTGTTGAAAGGTTTTGGCTCGTTACGTTCCGCTTAATGAAGTAAACAAAATTAGAGTTTCAACGCACACACATGAACACACACCAAACACACATACCACCCACAGGCACACACACACCACACACACACATTTACTTTCACATAAAAACACTCATAAACACACACCACGCACATTTACTTTCACATACACTCACATATAAAACACACACACATTTTTTGCTGTTTTTACATAAACTACACATAGTATGTGAGCATAAACACACACACGCACATAACGCATAAACACACACACACATTTACTTTCACATACACACACACACATAAACACACACACACCACACACATTTACTCTCGCACACACACACACACACACAAACACACACATTTTTTGCTGTTTTTACATAAACTACACATAGTATGTGAACATAAACACACACACGCACATACCGCATAAACACACACACACACATTTACTTTCACATACACACACACATACACACACACACACACCACACACACATTTAATCTCGCATACACACACATACAAACAAGCACACACATTTCATGCTGTTTTTACATATACTACACATAATATGTAAACAGAAACAACACACACACACACACACATACATATACGTACAACCACAAATAGCCACAAATGTACACACAAACGCAGCCATGCTGGTATGTTCGCATGCATGCATCAACCGACACCTTATTAAAAAGTGATTAATGATATGACGTCACGCTTATTACATCATCATCAACATTATCAACATCATCATCATAATCGTTGTAGTCATCTTTTCCAGTAAAGTTGTCATAATTTTTTAACTGTATGAGTAGTCAACCATCAATCATTCCCAATCTCATCAGCGTAAGCATTCAATGAAAATATTTAATTTCAAATTTTAAATAAAAAGATACCGTTATTATTATTATTATTGTTGTTGTTGTTTTAAAATTTAATCATTTATTTAATTTTATTATTTTAAAAAGATATTTTAAATAATATTTTTTGTCAGAAAAAAGTAATTAAAAAATTTGAGATGAATTTTTAAATTAGTGAATGAATATTTCATCGAAATTTGATTTACACCGTCATCAGCATAACAAGATCATCATCATTATCATCATCATCGTCAATGTCATCATCATGATAATGCCAAGTGTCATTCATCGTCATCATTATCTTCATATTATCGCTAACTCAGCAGCGGCATCATCGTCAACATCACCAGCATAATTCTATTAGAAATAATAACGTCTACAGCCACACAAACGCACGCACGCACGCACGCACACACACACTCACACATACACACACGGACCATAGATACACAGATGCATATAAATATATCATCAGCCCGCACAAATTGCATTCTTTCGTTTCGCGCCTCATTGAATTTTCTTTTGAAATATTTGATTCTTTTAAAAATCTTAATGTTGAACTCGGTTCTTTGGATGTTAACAAAGATAGTTCTAAAGATGATCGTTATGAATTATTGCTCTGCTGTTTTGTTCGTGGGCTTATTAAGTTTCAAAGTTCTCGCCGAACTCATCAAAGAACATTAAGTCGTGTACAGATAATAAAGTTGAATGTCAGCAAATTAAATTGGTGGTGCATCCAAATTATAAAAATAGACTGACGATTTTATTAAAATGTGTGACATTTTAAAGAAGTTAGTAATGCGACGAGATAGTATTTGAATTCATGAACGTTGTTAGTCTCCTAGTTGGTTGATTGTAAACTGCTGATGTGCATCTAAGAGAAGAGGGGTACAAAAATGCTTCAAAAATTCCGACTTGAGAACGTGAATGAATGTACTTAAGCTTTGAACCAACGTTTCAATAGACTACTTCAAAAATTATTCAACATGTTGTTTTTAAACTGGCTATTAAGTCGTATGAAACAAAAATTAATTTAATTTAAACATTGCAATTAAAATATAAAATTTTATACAAAATTTTGGACATGAGGGAGTGGATCTAGACAACAGCCTCCTCCCGGTTCTTCCTAAATCTGCCACCGTTGATATTTATGATATTGATATTTTGCGTGCAACCAAACGCAGACTAACTTGATTGGTTGACTGGTCATCTTCACGGTGGCGAGGGTCGGTGTTATAGGAGCAAGTGAAGATGACCGCCCCATTGTGGATGGTTCGTTGGTGCAGTGGGGACAGACTCAACAGACTTTTTTCTCGTTCAATTGTCGTTGTCGCCGATGCTTCTGTTGTTGTTTCAAAATATATTAGTAAAAAGATGTTGTAAATTTAACAAAATAAATACAATAGTTAATGCTAATCAATTCATAACTTGATAGTTTAAAAAATGATTGGCCGATAGAAGGAGGATGATAAACAGAAAATGATAAATTAATAAGGGCATTTAAAAATGATTCATAAATAAATTCAACCATGCAATCATTTGTTTGAATCACAAAGCTTTATTGTCAGGCTCTAAACGAGTACACACAAACTTTCGCGCACGCGACAGACACACACCTGCCACACACATACATACCACACACAAACACACACACAGTAGAGATACACTGAAGGTTTGGCCAAAATTTGACCATTTTTAGGCTGAACAGGTCAAATGTTACAAATTTCGTTTTAACCAGCACTTTTTCCCTTCTAGAAAGAGCAAGAGTCAGCAGGATTTTTTCCGGTGATTTGATAGCTGTTAGTGTGTAGAATAATAATTTAATAAATTTCCATGAGGTTTTCACGTGCATTAATTTTTATTGTAGTGCAGATTTTCTGCTAGACTCCGATAGTTTTCATGTTTTAAACTTATTTAGTATGATTTCAATCATGGTCTCTTGCATCTTTGTAGAAATCTTAGATTATTAATCCTCATTAAATTATGAATAAATTTATTTTAATTTTGGTTTTTCAATATGATTATTCTGCATTGCGAACTTGCAGTGCAGTGCTGTCATCGCAGAAGTAATACAGCGGCAAACAACGCGAAAAAACTAAAACTTCTTCGTTACAATTTACGGCTATTAAATTATAATTGTTAGATTTTTCAGTCATCTACAATGATTCATTCCATTTTTAATTCAATTTTACGCATTTTTTCAAAAACAATTTTTTCAATCAACTGTTAGTAATTAATTAGTTAATTAAGTAATAAACATTTAAAAAAACAACTTGTTTTTCATTTTTCATTCTAAAAAATATTCAGCGCTGCATTTCTACTTTTCAATACACTCTCCTATACCAAACACACGCACACACACGCACGCACACACACACGCGCGCGTCTACAGACAACGCTAATTTACCATTGAAAAACATTAACAAGATGCTGATTTGTTGTAATCTGTTCTTGCTTGTTTATACAATATCGTGTCAAAGACATCAGCATTTCATTACATCACGTTACATCAACATGTCATTATATCACATCTCCTGACATCATATAACATAGTATGACGTTGCAGTAAAATAACCTCCGGACGAAATTTTATCACGTATAAAACCGCACATAATAATACCAACACGTAAATTTTGTAATGATATTTAAAACAATACCTAGTTAATATTCACATACATTACATTATGTATCAACCCTTAGTTAAATTGAGCTACAAACATTAATTTTTCCTAATTTAATTGCACAATTATAAACAATGTATTATGTCACAAACTAATAAATAATATATAATACCATGTAAAATAATGTAGTCATGGTATAAGTACAATTATCTAGTTCAATTAGAAATAAACATCTTTTTTGAAAGTTTTGAAAAACTAAACAAATTTATTTCGTTTATTTGAAATAAATTAATTTTGTTATTTGAAAATGAAAGCAAAAGATGATGATGATGATTATTATTATTATTATTATTATTATTATTATTATTATTATTATTATTATTATTATTGTAAGGTGTTTCCTGTTAGCGACGAAATAAAAAATCACTTCAGAATATTCGCAACCGTGAGTTATATCATCACAGACAAAATATGAAATGTTTGAAATGTGATGCCACAATGAGGTGAAAAGTGTTGCTAGTTATTTTAAAATGTTCTGGCATCAATGCTTGTTTGGCTGAGATTGTTGCTTCGCTGGGATTGTTTTTTTTGCTGTGGTTGTTGTTTTGCTGGGATTGTTGAGATTGTTGTTTTGCTGTTTCGTTGTGTTTGTTGTTGGATTTTTTGTGCTCTTTTGCCGTATTGTTTTCATTGCGTTATGACCTGATATTGGAAAAAAGCAAGTGAAGTTACACGAAGTTAAATTCATTTGTACAAGTTTACATTGTTTTGTTTGTTGGTTGTGTACATAGTTGAATAGAAGGGTTGAGATGAGGCTAGCTTGAGGTTTGGTTCCAGATATATACGAAATATCTATGTTATTTAAATGTAAAAATCAGACCAAGCGATTCATTTGGTCATACAATATTGGTCATACAATACATAGATTAACAACATCATTTGATTAGGACTATGATGATTATTTTAAAGATTTTTCTTACTGTAATTTTTTTATTGAAGCAAACCAAGAAAATTTCTCTCTAGAATCCAGTCGTCATTATTATTATTGGGATAGAATGAAATGTTTGCCAAACGATAATTCTATCTATATTCATTCATTTAACATTTAAATCAATTTATATTATTTAATTTCATATTTTATGTGTTCACTTGAATGGTTTATTTAATTGCGAATGTTTGGGTGTATGTTGTAATGCATGATTGAAACTGAACGAACCAGTTTTGTGGCCATGCGTATTGTTTGAATTTTTTACTTTTTTAATTATTTGCAAACAATTAAATTAAAATATGTGAATTGAATATATTAGTGAATACACGATAATGTTCATTTTGAAAAAAATAAATGCCACCAAATTCAACGAAAGAGTTGAACATATGAATCTGAACATAAGATCAGGTTCAACACAAACAACACAGATTCATCTTATCATCATAAGTATCGATGATAAATTTCATCATCATAAATATCGAAGATATCTTCTTTATCATAAAAATGACTCTCTTAATTCAATTTTAGTAAACACACTCATCATTGCTGTAAATGATACCATCGTGATCATCATCAGTGAAATCATTCAAACAACAACAACAGAAACAACAGTAACAACAGCAACGACAGCAGTAATAAAAACAACAACAATAACATCATCATTAACAACTACAACAGCATCATCGTCGACAACAACAACAATCATTTAACAATAAGAAGGTGACCAGAGATAAACCAACTCACCTGTCACCACCATGGTGTCAGTACCAGGACACAAGAAAGCGACAATGGACAATATTGTTAACATTAATAATACGGCCGAACGTCTCCCCATGGTGATTATTTTAAAATTAAATTCAACCCAATTTATTATTATTATTATTTAAAAAAAATTAAAAAAAAAATTCTAACTGATAATATAAAATAAATTTATACAATTTGGTAAATAATAGTCAGAAATATATAAAATTATTAAACATGTTTTTCTCAGTGAGTTGTACGAAACTCGTGGCTAGCAATAATTTTTTCTCGATCACCAAAGAATATTCCACGGACAAATTGTCGTCATCATGACGTCAGCAATACGTCATGCGGACTGAATGTAATTGTTCTCTCGTCTGCCATCAACAATTATTCAAAATACGCCCCCGCAACGACAACAACAACAATAATAAAAACAATAAGAATAAGAATAAAAACAATTCATCATTCAGCATATGGATGCTTGCCTACTTACACTTCCTTATGTTCTGAGGAAGTTTTTATATACATCAGGTCCGCGCGCGTGTGTGTGTCCGCGCGCGTGTGTATGTGTGTGTTATATCTGCTTGTTGGATTAAAGGCTGATTTGTATATGTTATGTATGTACTTACGATATGCTATATATAAAATATATTATTATATCTACATAATATGCACACACCATATATATATATATATATATATATATATATATGGCGTGTATATATATATATATATATATATATATATATATATATATTCAATTCTTAATAAATCATTACATCAACTTTTTTTTTACAGGATATAATTTAATTATTTCAATTAATTAAGTTATTTTTTAAGGAAAAACTTCTAATATGAATTGTTTTATTTAACTTGATAAATTTTGATGATCATTTTTGTTCTAAGTAATTTCTGCTCATTTTTGGTTAAATTTAACTTGTTTTCATTGGCTAGCTATACGATTTTACTTTCATTTATGTTGTTATTTTCATGTAGGTGTATGTTTTTATTTGGTTTGTTTGGGTGGCCGTACAAGCTCGTATATATCCTGCTATTTAGTCTTTGGCCCTAAAATCAAAACGAACAATGATATCTTCTCTGGCCTAACCATTCACATAGGTGACTCAGTGATATCCAGAAACTCGTCAGCTAAATTTCTGGGAATTATTATCTAGTCTGACTTGAAATGGAATGAGCATATAAATTCGTTGGTAAGCAAATTATATAATTATATTATATTATTTATAGATCACGCAATAAATTAGGTACTAAAATCATGTTAATGCTATATTACTCCCTAATCTATCCATATCTCTTATATGGAAATGTTTTTTGAGGAGCTTCTTATAATTATTTAATAAAATCATTGACAATAGTACAAAAAAGATACCTTAGGGTTTGTTTTTTTCTGAAACACCTTGATCATACACTGGCAATATATTCCGATAATAGTATCCTCAGTATTGAACAGCTTAATAGGTATCTAACCTTGTGTTTCGTTTATAGAGTGTTATATGATGCTGAGTTCAACATGTTAGGCTCATTTGAAACGGTGTCAACAAACACTAGGCAAAAAGGTTTGTTGATACCAATGACTTGCAGAACTGATTTAAATGCTAGATACTGGGCGGTAAGAGGAATTCGTCTTGGGAATTCCTTGGAACTAGGTGAGAAAAAATTTTCCGGATATAATGAATTTAAAACATATATAGAAAACTTATGCAGATCAATGTAGGTATGATGCTCTCTTTGTTTAATTTTGTCGTATTTTATTTAATTGTTTTACATCTGATTGAATATTTAACCTCCTTACTTTAAGTTATAAAAATTGATTTATTGGGTGTATTTATATTTATCGATATACTAAAAATGTTTATATTTGTATCTCATTTTGTTGCACAACTAGTTGAGGTGGTCAACACATGCTTTCGTATATATGATCTCCTGTTTCTTTTCGAATAAAATTCTGGAAAATATATATATATATATATATATATATATATAGGATTCAGACTATCAGATATACAGTTGTTTAGGAAAGTCACAGCATTTTCAGCGTTGCTCAATTTACAATTTAATTTTTCAACTTTTCTTACGATGAGTTTCAGTTGCTTATTAAGTTTATTTAACTAACACACTAAATTGGTGTGCATGTTTAGAGCAGAATGGCTTTTTTCGTAAATTCATATTTTCATTATCGATGTTAATTTTCGTGTTGTTTATGTCCTTATATAAGTTATTGTTACTTTGTTCCTATGAAGTTTTTACGAGTTCTTTTTATCTCTTTGTGTGAATTAAAGATTTTTTCATGAGTTCTTTATATATATAGACTAGAAGGAGACAACAATTGATGCATTATTTGATACAATTCACGGAATTTTTAACTTTTGAGCTTTTCAATGTTTCTAACAGTAACTTTATAATTATTATCCAATTTATTAAAATTCGGTAGATTTTATCAAATATTGCATATATATATATATATATATATATATATGTATGATGAATTCGGATAACAACGGTTTGATTAAATTTTCATGATAAACTTGAATAATAATTCTACTTTCAATAAATTGAACAATTTCTAAAAAATTCTAGTAAGAAAAATTTAAAAGACAAACTTCAAATTGTACGAACTCGGTAGAATTCATACAATTTATACAAAACTGTATAAAATATGGTCTCTTTCCAACATATATATGCCTGCACTTATGGGTCAGATCAGAACATTCAATTTAAGTTGAATATGCATCTAAAATTGTTTCGTCAATTGAGTAGATGAATGAGCAAATAACCTATAACTATTCAAAAAGCACCAATGGAAATGTACATTTAACATCAACATGTGTTATATATGCAATATTGTGATGTATATACATACATTGATTGGAATATATGTATATATATAATATATATATATATATATTTATTTTAGTTTATATATATATATATATATATATATATATATATATATGTATATACACAAATGCATACATACATACATACATACATACATGCACTATATTTAACACACACACACAGACACACACACAGGCACACACACAGATACATTCAAACGGTAAACGAACGGTTGAATTATCTTATCGTTAAAATTGCAATACCAGCATCATCATTATATTTTCCGCATCGTCACTAACATCATCCTCAACATCACCACATCACTATATTTCGGATTCATCGCCGTCACGATCATCATTATCCTGTTTATCATAATCATCATTATTATAATTATCATCACCATTATTATCATCATCATCATCACCATCATCATCATCGAACTATTCATCATCATCGTCACCATCATCATCACCATCATCATCATCATCATCATCATTGAACTAGTCATCATCATCATCATCATCATCATCATCATCATCATCATCATCATCATCATCATCATCATCATCATGAGGATGAATGCAGACACTTCAATTGACGTGTCTTGAACCATCAATAAACTCACTTTTGATAGATAAAAGTTGGTATGTATATATATATATATATATATATATATATATATATATATATATATATATATATATATATATATATATCCTTTATATAACTCAGTCCTTTAATGTATGTATGTATATATTTTTTTCTCAAGTATCATTGTTCTACTGTGTACGTGTGTTGCTTAATTTTAATTTATTTCTGTGCTGCTTAATTTTAATTTATTTCATGCAATTTCTTCTCCTTAACCTCCCTTGAACAAACGATACAAGACATGACATCATTTTTATATAAACAATTAAACATATAATTACAATAATTGATAACAAATAACAATGAATAAAAGCTAATGATGTCATAGACTAACCCCAAGATAGATAGATAGGCACAACAACAATCTTTATACAGAAACAACAAATTATTTGAAATAAACGAATGAATGAATTAATTAATTAGTTAATTAATTAGTTAATTTATTAATTAATAAATAGATAAACAAAAAATATTGAAAAAATACAAATGAAATCAATTAACAATTCCCTACAGACAAAACCAAAGATCAATAGACTGACAGATAGTCCGACAACAATATTGATCAATATCAAAATACAATCGTGTCAAAACAATCGGCAACAACAACAGCACTAAACAGCAATAACATACAACAACAGCAACACACACAACAACAACAATATACAACAATGTTAACAACATTATGTTATCTACCCTTATTATCTAGTTTGTCAACACATCTTCATCATGCCGATTCATCTGAACACATTCGATTAACATTTGTATTGTTCTATAACTAATGCATGTTCATGTTTGCTTAGATAATCAAATAATTTTATCTTAATTTAAAGCTATTATTATTATTACTACTACTATTATTTATTATTTTTATTTTTATCAGTGGATGATTGGATGGGTGAACATTTACCTTAAATAGTTGAACATTTTCACTGAACGGTTGAACTTTTTGAGTGAATGTTCTTTGAATGGTTCGAATGTTTTTTGAATGGTTCGATTTATTCGAGAGAATTCGCTTCCGAAATTGTTTGATGTGAGAACAAAACTCACTTCCCGCTCTCGGTAAAAAAATATTTGTGTGATTGTGTGTGTGTGTGTGTTTGTATGCTATGTGTGTGTGTATGTATGTGTTATGTGTGTGTATGTATGGGTTATGTGTGTGTGTGTGTGTGCGTATGTGTGTGTACGATTACGAATGAGCCATCCTTGAGCTAATTGGAGTAGATTTTTATGACTTTATTTGCAAGTAAGTAAAGTATTGTCTGGCAATAGCGGGGACAACATCACTTTAAATTTACCGTAACATCTAATTAACATTGTAGTAACATCTCATTAACATTGTAGTAACATCAAATTAACATTGTAGTAACATCACATTAACATTGTAGTAACATCTCATTAACAGTATAGTAACATCTCATTAACATTGTAGTAACATCGCATTAACATTGTAGTAACATCTCATTAACAGTATAGTAACATCACATTAACATTGTAATAATATTACATTGACACCATCGTAGTAACATTATTCATCATAAAAGTTTAGTGCTCTCTAATGAGCATTGCTTCTCCAAGAAGAGACAAACTGATGTGTGTGTGGATATGTTGCTTTTTTTCTCTTATCTTTAATTTTATTTTTCTATTTTATTTTTTAGTTATTATTCTTTTCTTATTATTATTTTTATTTTGTTTTTAAAATTCCATGCTTCCGTGTTTTAGTATGCGTCTTACTGCTAAAATATTTCGTTAGGTTGTTGATGCATTTTGTTATTTTATTATATGTTATTGAACGTTTGGTCCGTGTGCTAAGTTGAGTTGTTTTACATTCAAATGAACACCATGTACTTAATACGCTGTTAAATTTATACTCATAAAGTTACACTGAAAAACTTTTCCGCTAGTAGCGTTAATGGGGTAACGTTGCTTATAATTAATTAATTAATTAATTAATTAATGTTTAATGTTTGATACAGTGATTATTGCGTTTTTGTTTGGCTTTAGTAGTTTTGTTTTTTATTTTATTTTATTTTTTATTTTTATTTATTTTGTTTGTCCTGTCGTCCTTGTCTAATATGTTAATAGATACATCTGTTGCCATTTTTCTGGTTTTTTTCGTTATTTTTTTTATTTTTTCCTCATCTTAAATTAACATGCCTAGTCTTAAAATGTATCATTTATTATTATTAGAGTAAACAAACTGAAATGTCCACTTATGAGATCTGCTTATGGTTCAGTTGAGTTGAATTTCTTCCCCATAAATTCATCAGCGTCATTCTTCATCATTTTCTCTCACTTCTTTGTTTCGTAAGTCAAGTTGAGACTTTTGCTTCAAAATTTCTACTCAGTCTCACACCTAGTCTGACATGTTCATGTTTTGTTTGCATGTTTGTTTGCATGTTTTGTTAGCATGTTTTGTTAGTATGTTTGTTTGCATGTCTGTTTTGCATTTTCGTTTGCATATATATTAGTATGTTTATCGCATGGTTTATTTGTTTAATGTGAAGTTTCCCATACATTGTATGTTTAGGATTTTTCATTAGATAATATGAAGACTCTTTATTTACCTTTCGTTGTTTATTTGTTTCTTATCTGAAAAAAAAACTATCAAATGCTCATTTGAAAATCTAAATAGTTTCTTAGCAAGTTGAACACTGCAAACAACATCTTAAATGTAAAAACTGTACGGTGCACCTCAAAAATAACAATACAAACAGGCGCAACGATGACATGAGTTACAAGAATGTTGAAACAACAGCCGATGTAACGTGTTTGAAAAGTTACAACATATTTCTCTTATAAAACATGCACACAGAAGCCTTTAGCACATTCATCTTCGTAAATATACAGACCTTCAAATGCAATGCGTGCAGACATGTGTGTCTAATTCAAAGAAATGTCTTAACCATTGGAAAAAAAAATTCTTAACTACATTCAAAAGTGCCAGCAGTCTGCATTGGATCGACACATACTTAAAAACGTACGTAAATACATACAAACCCAAATATACGCTGGACAAAAAAATTAAACTAATTAATTAATTAATAATTATATTGAAAATATAGTTTACACAAAATTTATTATATAGATTATTATGTTTGTAGGACACTCACCTAATTTTAACTTGCATTATACAAAATTTTTAGTGACATTTCATAATGTAATGAGTATAAATTTGTTATACAAACTATTTATTTTTGTACAGGATATTAAATGGTGAATCTATACATAAATACACACACACACGCACACATATACTCACACACATGCGCGCACACACACACACACACACACATATATATATATATATATATATATATAATTTAGTGAAGTATACTGAAACAAATAGAAAGCATACAGGAGTGTATGGTTTAAAAATAATTAAGTAGAAGGAGAGATGGAAAGTGAGGAAATTTCTGTGAGGTATCAGGTTCACTGCTCTACTCCTACTTTTCCATGAATGGTAATTTGCCGCAACCTCATTAGACAAGTGCAATGAAACACCAATACACAACAGCACACACACGTGCAGCAACACAAACATACAACAACACACGCACACACATACACGTGCAACAACACACAGATATGCACACGTACACGTGCAACAACACAAATATGCACCAACACAAATACACAACTACACATACACGTGCAACAACATAACGGTACAAACGCAACACAAATACACAACGATACAACACACACGTGCAACACATGTGCAACTCAAATGTACGCAAGCAAATACTCAACAAACACAAACATACAACTACAAACACGCAACAACCAGCACAAATGAACGAACGAACGAAAAACAAACGAACGAACGAAAAACAAACGAACGAACGAACAAGAGCACAACACAAATGGTTGACTTCTGGAAGACATTATAATTGAAAACAAAAATGTCGAACATAAAAAGAAAAAGATAGATGGATGGTGGGTAAGTAAAGGAATGAACGGATAAATGTGAGGATGAACGTGCAGATTATTGGATAGCGAAATGGATGAATAAGCAAATGGATGATTAACGATGATGGTTTTTAAATGGGTGGATGGATTGATGTTGCACGTTAAATACGTAATCAAATAAACGACCAAGACAGATGTTTAAGTTTTGTATTTCAAATCATTTGCATGATAAATGAATGAATGAACGCAAGAATGAATTAATCGGATAGATATTTTGTATAACTTAGAATTTTAATTTATTATGATTGAAGAAAAGATTGAATAATAAAATCATCAATGAAACATTTTCACATGGTCTATACCATGATGACGCGTGAACTTGTGATTGGACGACTGACTGACGCATCAGACACAAAGAGGTTTTGGTTTAGGCAAGGGAAGACATTTGAGATGAAGCCCACCCACAATTGAAATTCTGCTAGGTTTATGTCATATTGAACGACATTTCTATATAAATTTATGAAAACTTGGACTGAAAACTATTTCAATCTCCACACCACTAAAAATGAGTGAAATTTCTTGAAATTTCATGAAATTTAAAAAAAAATTATGTCCATTTTTTTTTTAATTTCAGTCCCACGCAGCAAATTTCTCATACTTAAACAAATAAATGAGAAAAAAACCAGGCGAATGTTCACGTGATGACATGGCTGATAAACAAATAGATTGAGCGTGTTTATTAGTATTATTTTTTACCATTATAAGTATAGAGAGAGGAATGAATAAGAAGAAGAACATAAGCAGAGAATACTTGAACATTAAAAGAAGCCTTGGAACAAACAATTGTTGAACCGCCTAAATGATAGATAACAAGGTAAGAGTCATGTAACTGACAATTTTTAAGAATCATCATCCTCATCATTTAACAAACAGCTTTTCAAATCATCATCATCACCCATGTTAATTTCTTCTCTTTTTTTTATTTTTTTAATTCATTCATCTAAGATTGGAAACAATTGAACGAACGCATGGATCGGAGGTTATTGTGGGTGCAACATTCATGCAGCTCTATCAAGCTGGTTATATTGGAAGGAAAAGAAAGAGATAGATTTATTGGGAGAAATAGAATCATGTAGAAATTCAGAAATTTAAATAATAAACATGTCAGTCAGTGTCATAACCACGTCCATTTGCGTGTGGATTAATATTTCATTCAAATTAAATTAAACCAAATGAAAAAACATTCATTGAATATTTTAAAAGGTTTCAAAAAAAAAATATAATGAATAATAATTTGATTATTCACAATCAGATACAGTATTTTTGATGCGTTAGTCATTTTAAAATTACTTCTTCTGCAAATAATACTTGCGAATCGAGCGTGTTTTGCGAAAGACACAACTCACAATTAAATAGAATGCCACTACAAAGTTGAAGGTATATGATCAACTCATGTTTCGTCGACTTCAATTAAGGATCTGGAATGTTCTTCGTGCAGTTTTTTCTTCTTCTTTAAATGCTTGCTATGATGAACATTCGCATTAACATTTTTAGCAAAAAAAGATTTGATGTATTTGTATACAATCTATCTCTGAAAGCATTTTCTGAATATCGCAAGTAACGTTTGTAAGTATAAAGGGCAGAAATTGTAGTTAGCTTCACGGTAACTTTAATAAATTTAATCACAAAAATTCATCACCACACAAAATCAGCTTTTCATCTCATCGTGTTTCTCCAACGACTTCATAATTGAACATTAACATTCTAATATATCCAACACAAACAGATATTTACACAAGATAAAACTTATTTACAAATAAATCTTTCTTTCTCTCTCTCTCTCTCTCACTCTCTCTCTCTCTATGTATGTATATATATATATATATATATATATATAAATATATAAACTTACATATACATTCATATATATATATATAGAAAGAGAGTCAGTCAGAAATATCTATAGAGCATCTGGATATCATTAAACTTTTCAAATCAGGCAAATCATCTTCAATTCCAGGCTACCTTAACAAAGTTATGATGCACTGGCACGGACACACACACACACATGCCTGCCTGCTACATATACACAAATACAAATACGCACACATGCATCTAAAACATACAAGCATGAAATATACAAACACATACAAGCATGAGATATACAAACATACATCACAAAAACACACATATACAAAGATGTAAACACATACAAACGCGCACATATATAAACATACAGGCACACACACACACACCTATGAACAAACATATTTAAACAAACATGAATACACATTGATACAAGCAATATACCAACTGGCGCACGCACACATCGCACGTACATCGCACATTTGCATATAACACAAAGATACCTATACTTAAATAATATAGTGCACGCAAGCATTCACATCATGAACACATTTAAATTACTCACTAACACACCACACACACACACACACCATACACACACACACACACACACCATACACACACACACACACACACACACGTTTTCACGCATGCACGCATACAAATAAGCCCACACACACACACACACATATTCACACACACACACACACACACAAACACACACACACACACACACACATGCAAACAAACCACACACACACACACACACACACAAACGAACACACTCAAAACCATTCATCTATCCATCTATTCGAATGATTCACATGACAAGATCAAGTGGTGCTGGTTGAAATTGAACTTGGCAAGGATGGATCCAATGCTGACGAATGAATGCTTGCTATCTCCATTGGGGAATTTAGGATTTCAATTTATTGCAACTTTTAATAAATATAATAATAATCTTATTATAATATGATAATAATAATAACAACACCAACAATAATAATGCTACCGCTACTACTACTACTACTACTACTACTACCACTACTACTACTACTACTACTACTACTACTACTACAACAACAACAAAAACAACAACTTCAACTACTACTACTAATAATATTAATAATAAAAATAAATTTAATTATCATTACACCAAAAGCAATCAATAAATTATTATTTTGAGCTGTTAATGTTATTTGAATGATTATTGTAATGTATTGCTGTTGCTTATGTATGTCCAATCATGTCGTGTGTTAGTTTGTATGTGATGCTTAACTTTATGTTGAAAATGTTTACGCATATTTATGTGTGCTGGTATTGCTATTTGTGTTGTATTCGATGGACAGTCTACAGCATAAGCACAGAGTAAACGCCAGATGTTGAAGTTGTTAGTTAGATCAACTTCCATTCTTACTAACTGATCAGGTTGGTTGACTCAATGGGTTTCAGGTGCTGGTGGTTTGGTGACTAATGAATATTTTTGACAAATTAATTGAATTTATTTAAAGTTGATGACGTCGTGATATCAATCATACGGGCATGTATGATGACGGTGATGACGATGACGATGATGAGGAGGAAGAAGAAGAAGAGGGAAAAAATCAATGATAAAGAAACGCATATTTATTAACAAACCAGTATATTTGATGCCTTTGTTCATGTTGGTCGTTTATGCATTATTATATTTATGTAAGTACACATTTTAGTGTTTTTTTTGGCTTTGTATGCCTGCAGTTGCACGGTCTAATTCTATTTGTGTTTGTTTCTATGAAAGGTTTTTGGTGTTGTTTGGCTTTTAATTGTCAGTTTGTCTGTAAATTTGTCTCTAGGTATTTATGCAAAAACCTCTTGAAAAATGTGTTCGCGCGAATAACAAGATAACAGCGTTCTTAAATATCTAAATTAAGATTGAGGTTTTTTGTTTGTTAATGTTAGACAGTTTGCACGTGATTGCTTAACTGGATGTACGTGCGTTAAAATGAACGAGCAGGCATGTGAGTGAAGTGAATGTTCGTTTTGTGTTCATTCTCATGGATTTGCCATATTACACATTCTTTAAAGTGACATTTCCTTCTCTACACGTGCCTGCCTCAGTGTTTGTGTGTGTGTGTGTGTTTGTGTGAAATTTTCATTAAATATTTTGAATGAGTGGGTGATTTCGTTGTTGCATCATTAAGCAGGTGTTTGACTTATTTGTTTGTTGATCTGTTTAGCTGTTTAGTTTCATTAATTCATTCAACGTTATAATTTCTTTACGTTATATTTTTTTTCCTTATCATTTTTTTCCATTTTACTTGATGAATATGCCCCTAGAGGTATATTCGATTACAAACTTTTAAATAGGATTTTTGCTCTCAATGAAGGAATATGATAGTTTATTATTGTTTGGAAAGAATGATAGAAGCAAATAATATTTAATACAGAAACAACTGCCATATAATTATGCAATTGCATAATTCAGGGGTGGGCAAACAACGGCCCGCGGCTTCTTTAAAAGGTCGTCAGCCAGACATTATGACCAAAAAAGAGCCACAAATCTTAAAAAAAATTCACCCCCGGATCGAAAAAATTGCTGTTTAAGTACACATGCAGCTCTTCAAAGGTAAAATAGTTCCCAATGCGGCCCTCACAGCAAAGAGCTAGCCCACCCCTGGCATAATTCATACGAATTCCGGTTCTATTAGCTATGATAAGAATTTAGCCAGAGATTTTAGGAGAGGAAGCAATAATAAATTAGCGATTGTTATTCATTGCATGTGTTCTACTTTGTTTAAAAATTTCAATAAATCTATTTGTATACGTTATGAGTTGATATAGGGGTATCTCTTCTTACGATTTAAAATTCTTCTTTAATTCGTTAATTTCATAATGAAAAAATGGGTTGATTAGAACTTAATTTAAATTAATTTAAATTAATTAATTAAAATAAACTCAAACTAGATTAAGTTTAACCGATAAATTGAATATTTTTTTATGAGTAACATAAACGTTCACAATTAAACTATTCATACAAAGTCAAATTATTCATTTTTCGCGCCGTTACAAAAATGTTCCCGGCAGACGCTTGTTGTCTCCGTCCATCCACTTCGAATGGTAGGAATTGTTTGGTTTTTTGGTACTTACTTGCAGCCTTCATGGAGCGTTAGATCTGTTCAATTTATTCTTTATTTAACAATTTAACAAAAAAATTTATTCTTTAATGATATGTAGTGAAATTACATTGTATATCCAATTTTGAACATCAAACATATTTCCAATGATAGTTTCAAACGACAAAGTATATATTTATTTTCGAATAAAAATTTAGAGCACTCCAATAAGAAACAAAATTCAAAACTTGCAAACAATTTCATTAAAAAATGTATTCAAACTCACTCATCACGATGTTCAAATCGCATTTCAACGATCACTCAAATGATTGTAAGCCAAAAAATTAAATATTATGTTACAATACATTATTATTTCAAATTAATATCATTATCATGACGGTTCGATGCAATCTCGCAACTACAAACAAGTGTCAGTTGTCATGAACATTGAACCTATCGTCAAACAACTCCTTTCCTCAACAGTAAATCATCTTGCGTGTTTGGCCCAATACATCTAGATACGTCTAGACCATTACATCAACGTATATTTTACAAAATGTGTATTCAGATGTTAGAGATTTATAATGTTAGCCTTGTTGCAAGGCTCCAAAATTGGACAATTTTCCAGCTTTAGAGCACTTCAGCATGTAGCATGGTTAATTTATTCACATGGTTTGCGTACTTCAACGGTGGTACCCACCGGTCTTCAATTGTCGCTAGTGTTGCATATCTCTTCTGATGACAAACTTGAATATAGAGTGAATTCTAACATTATATAAAAATAAAATGGTAATGATTTAAGTTCGAATTTAAAACTGAAATCGTTTTTAGTTTTACGACGAAAAAATAAAATTCTGTATTGCAAATCTACAAACTTTTTAATAGGAATTCTACTTCGTATTCAACAACTTAACAACTGACGTAGAAAAAAACTACCAAACTGGTCATTATTCGAATTTTTAACTTCCCTAAAACTTTTAAACCGTTGTACGAACTAAACAAGAAACAGAGTAATTTTCATAAGGCAAGTGTTTTTATAGTACAACATAACAAAACACTCAGCACACATGCCTGTTAACTTAGGCAACATGAAAAGAGAAACATTGTATTAATCTGCTCAATAGTTAAGAATTGTAATAATCTGTTCAATAATTATAGTTGTCAAGTCACCATCATGGTAAAAATTATTATCAGTTATCATTGTGATTAACAGTGGTTCTCTAAACATCATAGAAAGTCCTAACTATACAAAGTAGAGTCAATGAATAGTTACAAGTGGTAAGGTTGTTGTAACAAAAATTATGACGATTCAAGCCCTGTTATCTCCACCATCTTCACCAACGCTAGCATCCGTCTTTCTGATTTTTTGTTTCGGTTCGCTAGCTTCAGCACCATCTTCAGCAACATCGCCCTCGTTTCTATCATCAGCTACTTGTGTTGTTTGATTGTCAGCAACGTGCTCTGACGTTTGGTGAGAACCAGCGTCATCATCATCTTTATCTTGGGTAGGTGCAGGCGTATTTAACATTCTTTTGAGTTCTCTTTCTTTCGATTCCATACTTTCGTTCGCGTTATTCTCGCCTACAACCATTTGTTCTTCCGTTTCCATGGCGGTTCTGTGGAAAAAAAAATTTATCTGGTGAAAAGTAGCTATGAAAATTATGAGAAAAATAATAAACAAAACCACAAAATGATGACAAACATCTTGTTAGCCTCCACATCAGCATTCTCTTCTTCATCATCAGTGTCATCATCATCATCGTTATCACTTCCCTGTCTCTCGGTCAGTTTGTGCTGATGAGAGGACGATGTTGCGAGTGCTGATGATGATGCTTCTGCTGATGATAGTGATGACGCTAGTTCAGTCGGTGGTTTCAAGGCTTCGTTCAGTGCAGCCTGTATGTGAAGTTAAACAAGCAAGCAACGTCACCGACAAGCACTAGTTATAATTACGGAACAAATGAACAAAACTTTCATTGAATAAAGCATAAAAACGAACAAATATCAAAAAAATCTTTCTAAAAATCTTGCATAAATTATGAAAAAAAAACGAAGAAATCAAACAACAGAACCCACCATCTGTTGGTACTGCAGCTGCTGTTGTCTGATCAGTTGCTGAACGTGTTCCTTGTAGAAGTCGAAAACGTACTGCGTCATGTGGGGCATGTTTTCCATGACCAGTGGGGTGCCAGGGGGTGGGACTTCGTTCTTAGAGGGATGTCAGGTTTGTTTATTTGATGTTAACAATCGTTGTTGTAAATAATTAGTAATAATTAATAATTCATCAAAATATTTAAAAATGCATTACGCTGATGCCCACAACGTAACAGCACTAAATGAAACAACACCCCCAACAAGACCCATGCCAACTGACCAGTCTGTGAGTAGCGAAACGCTCGAATGGAGCGAGCCACAGCTTCATCGGCCTCTTCATCAGCTGACTGAACGTGGGCGTCAACTCGAAGCAGTTCTGAAACAGTGACACCCGACCGAAAATGTAGAGGCCCAATCTAGCGCGGGACATCGCCACCACCAGCCTACGCACATCTCTGGTGACAGAATATTAGTTGTGTAGGCGTTCTTTTTTTTTAAATTTTTTCGGCTGTAAAACAGCCTCCAAATTCATCGAATTTACATAGTTAAAAAGAGAAAGTCGCACGACAACGCAGTCGTGTGTAGAGATATTATACCATCTCCACCACTATATTATTAATGGTTCAGTCTTACCGATATAAAAAGTAGCTAACAAACACGACGATGCAACAACAAATACAACAGCGGGAAACACAGTAACAACAAAAACAACAATAAAAACTCGGTAAAAGCAACAACAAGAGAGTAGAAAAATAGCAACACAAAACCTCAAGACAGCTACAAAACAACAACAAAATGCTCAAGAACACAGGCAGCAATATTAAATAACCTGAGGTGGCCAACATTCTTGGTCCTCACAAGACTGAGCAGTATGTAGTCATTTTGCTGACCCTGGTACCTGTCCACTGTGGTCACCTAGAGTTCAAAGGTCAAAGCATAAAGCTCAAACATCATTTAGTAATTGCAAAATATATTACAACTACTTTATATACTCCATTATTTTGTTCACTAATTACATTAAATTTTATGTATACAGTTTGAAATGTTTTAAGATCAAAGAACAACATTTTTTTAAAAGATTTTTCATGCTTTTGTAGTTAAAGAGTTTATAAGGGCAATGCGTATATATTAAAATATTTGAAATACATTAAAAATAATCAGCCACTCTCTCTCTTTCTCTCTCTCTCTCTTTCTCTGTGTGCTATATCACTGATACCCCAAAGAATTAATTAGGAGAGAGAGAGAGAGAGAGAGAGAGAGAGAGAGAGAAAAAAAATTGGACATAAAAGAACAAACCTTGAGAGGTCTGCCGAGTAGTTTGTTGTTGGCGCACCTGCGCTGAATGACATCTCTGATGAGGTGCTTCTGTCCGTTGTACGTCGTCAGAATGGTTATCTGGTCGGCTGGGTAGCCAATCAACCTCATGTACGTGTACAGGGCAACTACGTACTCCGCTTCTGCTAAGTTCTTTGAGGTAGTAAGATAGGGAAGGTTAGAAGTTAAAAATAAATGAATGAATGAATGGATGAATGAATGAATGAATGAATTAATAGACAAATGACTAAATTACTAACAATCAAAATTAACAGATGTAAAAATGAAAAAATAATTACTAAATAGGAATCGACTAAACAACATGTATCTTATATAATCTCTACAATCACCGCGACACTCATGCGTCATCTCCGCTGTACCATCTACATTCTTCCAACTGCAACCTCAATCTTCACCACTACTCTGGAACAAACACAGCACGAGAAAGCATACTCTCAGATGAAAACCTGATAGAAGTAGGGATTAGGCTCCGACTCGCCGACGCCGTTGAAATCTTGCACGTCGATGAGTTGGAAGTCGAAGAAGAAGCCGGGGTTGGCCTGCTTGTACTCGGGGCGCATGAGAATGTGTGGCAGGTTGCCCAGGTTCTTGTACCTCCAGTTGAATAAGTTGCATATGCTGTGTGGGTGGTGATGGTGGTGGTTAATCTTTAAACTTGTAATGATGAAGTGACTGGTTTAGGTGAAATAACTGATTGTCAAGTAAAGAACGACCCCGACCTTGGCCTAGAACGACCTTGAGCATCAAGGTCAACAGTGGGAATTCCCAGACGAACGAATCTCGTGAAGAGAGATTGTTCCATGTTGCTGAACTTCTGGAAGGCCATGTTCTTGATGACGGGAGGAAGTTGGTGGTGGTCGCCGATCATGATCCACCTCTTCAGACGGTTGATTCCATGCTCCGGGTTCTATAACATCCATGTTTAATACGTTAATTAATTTATTTATTTGAGAATAAGTAATAATCATCGCAGCTCTTTCGTTGATTTCACTTCATCATTTGTTGTGAATGCAAAAATCAAATTAAAATCAGATTCATCAAAACTCCACCGCCAACACACCATCGTTCACATCATCAGCAGCACTCACCTGTAGCAAGAGAGGTATGAAAGTTTCAATCTCCAGTATCTGGGCTGCCTCCTCCATCAGGATGTTCTCGTACTGGAAGCCTGCCTCCACCAGATCTCTCCTCTTCAGAGCAGCGTGCGTACACGTCATGGCAATTATTTTGGCCTCCTTGATCAGCAGGTACCTCGATCGATCCCTCCCATTTCGAAGCAGCTCAAATGGACGAAACTCCTGGGTGATGTTTTGCGCGCGCGCGCGTGTGTGTGTGTGTACGTACGTGCGTATGTGTGGGTTGTTTCCTATGAATGAAGTTATATCAAAACGTTATATAGTGAAGAAGAAACAAAAGACAAAAATAACATTATTAGAAATTATTTTTTCAAATCAATTAGATACAATTTATTTAGACAATGAAAAATATACTTTTTAGTTATAGATTTAATGCAAGCTCATACTTGGATGACATGAAACAAATTTTACAAACGTAGCCTTTCTCAGCTAGCTTCAATTCACCCATGAAGAAAACACTTTTTTTAGTAACAAATTCATACTTGCGTGATAGAAAGCAATTTTTAAAAACTCGACCCACCTCGAGTTGTTTGAAGATCTTGTTGACGTAAGTAAAGCAGCCACGTGCCACCTCAAGGTCCTCTTCAAATGAATCCTTCTTAAAGAGGGGCTTTGGTGCGTCCTCAAAGAATCGATGGAATGGAAAGCACTTGGAAACCAATACCGTGTCTTCAACTGCGTTCGACGACTGACGTGGAGAATGTAAAATGTCATTTATTCCCGAGATATTACGTGCTAATTGATTGGCTGGAACGCTATAACGAATGCAGTTAGATCATAGCGACTAGAGGCCTTTAGTGACTAAACAAATGACCATCCATCAAAATTGTTATAACTAATCTGAGGAAAGTAGATGGAAATAAAAAGCAGTACCTCATCCTTCCTGGCTGTGTTGATGTCATTAAAAAATTTCTCCTGCCTGGCCAGGATCTGATGGAATTGTTGTTGGTGGTGGAATTTATTGATGACAACTTCGTTTAAAGATTACCAGTATGGCATATAAAATAATTGAGCTGACAATTTTGTCAGGTTTAAAGGGCTTGGAGTCGAATGCATGCAATTATATTAGTCTAAACTAATGGACAAATCAATGAACGAAAGAATAAACGGAAAAACGAATAAATAAATGAATAAATCGACCAATCGATTGACAAACGACAAATCAAAACCCACAGAAAAGAATAAAAACCAGGAACGAACCTCTTGAACATGAAAATAGCCAGCCAGTTCACAAGTGTACTCATGATTCAGTGGCAGGTTCAAACTCTGGTGCAGCCTGCTGACATGCTGCAACAGTTCCAACCTCTGCTCCAGTACGAAATTCACACGACCGTACCTGGAGAAGATGCAAGTTGCAGATACAAACACATGCAGATAATGATGAATACTTCCATGAATATTGGGTGAATGACAATGTTTACTGGTTTGATGCATGTTGTGTGTAACAGAATAACAGAAATGAGCTGTTGTATGTTTATTTATTCACTCCACATCCATATATCCATCTATCCATACACTATCCGTCTATTCTTTTATTCATTCACTAATCTATTCATCCATATATCCATTCCTTCATATACCTATCCATAGATCCATCTACGCATTCGTCAGTTCATCCATCCATATTCCATATATATCAATCTATCTAATCACTGATCCAACCATCCATCCATCCATCTATCCTACCATAGAAACGAACGAACCTGCTGTAATCACTTTCAGTCTCCAGTTCCTCCTCTCCGTGACCCAACCTAAGCAGATGGCGCTCCTCCACATCCAATTGCATGATCTTCTCAAACAATTGATTCAAAGCCTGAATGTTTTTTTGTCAATAAAAATAAGAATGCACTTACCGTGCTCATTGATATTCACGATAAAATAACCCGCAACATGTGATGGAATATACTATAAAAATTCTAAATATCGTGTCTATAAGGCGCGGTGGTGTAATGGTTGAGACGCCTGGCATCGATCTCGCAGCGAATGAGTTCGAATGCAATTAGAGCCTCGCCTACCCCAGGCAATGAAGACCAAACAGCAAAATAAATAACCAGACAAAAATAGCGACATAGAACCTGATTGGAGTGAGTGACGATGAGAGTCCGTTGTTCGGGGAAGTTGTGGTAGATGTTGGAGATGATCTGGACGGCAACGTCCGTCTTGCCAGTTCCAGGAGGACCAACAACCTAAATTTTAATTTCAAATAAGTTGGGATGTATGCCTGTGTGCGTGCGTGTGCCTGTGTGCGTGCGTGTGTGTTGCTGGTGTGAGGCGGGCCTAGATGTTTTTATATTAGTAATGACGTAATGACAGAACATGTTTTTATATTAGTAATGACACAACATGGATAAATTACATTATTTACCAACAATTAGACACGTGAAAACGAATAAGATGTCTACAAGTTTATTAATGAACATGAATGAACTGCAAGAGACTTCGGTGATGCTACTTAGTTAATGTTCTAGAAATTCGAAATTCTAACGGTGCAAACTACTTACACTTCAACTGATACAGTAACCTATTGAAGAATTATTCAGATAACAATATATTCATTTTAGAACACAAGCAATAATGATCAGTAATTCATCCAATGAAAAATTCTATACACGTGTGTTGTTAATTCAGATTACTCAAAAAAAGACTCAACCCCTCACCCCCCCACTTGACCTACCATGGTCAGCCCTGGTTGCATCCCGGATCTGATGGCTTCGATTTGTGTCGGTGTAAAAAAGATCTGGTTTCTGTTACGTGGTAGGATGGATTTGTGAGAAAATTTTGGTTTGGCTAGTAAGTATAATCGCGACAACAACAACCATCATCTGTGTCGCAATCCCAATCATTATCAACCATCAACACCATCATCAACTATCACCGTAATCACCTCCTAGGTTGATTGAACCGATAAGGACCCCTGTTTGCATGTTTGTAAGGGTGAACGATTATCGTATCTTTCATGTTAGAATCACCCTCCACACTCTTTGAGTCGTTCAACTTGCAAAATGTCAACCTGAAATGTTCATTAGTACGTTTATGATTCATCAAATGAGCGAGGATCCTTTTTGCATTTAAACCAGGCAACTGAGAAACAGGACCAGGCACCTCTACCCATTAAGCCATCGGGCCGCCCATGCAAGCAAGCAAACAAACCTATACGGTGGCTGATCGTCAATAGCTTCAACTTTCTTTCCGTCACCATCCTCCCCTTCAACAGGAAGAACACCATTGGCACGTTCGTCGTTGTAAACATGCTTGGTGGCGAGGATGACGTCATGGTGAGGAAAGGAGGCTTTGAGGTGATCGAAATTCAGGAATGTGTCGTTCCAATCCATCGTTTGAATGTTGTTTGGCAGTCTGATCAATTGGCGTGCGTGGTGAATAACAACGTAGGTTAATTATTTTCTAAAACTTTTATACATGTTCATATTGTTCATCATTCGCAATGGCACATTAACACAAATGTCCACAGAGTAATTGTATAAAAAAATTACAACCACTTTTCAACCACGAGAAAAAGTGTGACACAGTGAAACTTTATTATTATTATTTTTTAAAAAATCAGAATCTGACAGGCACAGGCAGAAGCTTTCACATCTGCAGTCTCAATTAACAATCAACCAGTAGCCAAAAATTTTTAAACTAAATTTTTTTACTATTGTCTGTGATATTAATTTGTTACTTCTGTTCACGATATTGCAACTTCCACATTTAGACACACAAGTCGTTGTCAGACGTCCATAGTAAATCAATCTTCGAACGGATCCACCAGCTAAAACTTTCGCACAACAATTTATACATACACTCAGCGGCTAAGATACTTAACATGAGGCTCGAGCCTACTTGGAGTAATGAGCAGCCCAGGGATCACCGTAGCCCAGAATTATGTTAATGAGCCAGTCCGGGACGACGCAATTAATATTCATGAGGTCTCTGATGGTCTCCAGGACAGCTTTGAAGTTGTTTTCTTTCGGTTTCCGGCGGATGACCAAGTTGAATGTTTCATACGGGTCCTGTATTTGTTGTTGTCACGTGATGTAAATAATGATGCTTAATGTGACGTAGATGATGGAGCCAATGATGGCGTTAATGTGACGCAGACTGGTGACGTCAAAATTAATTTTCAATGTCAAGATGTCGATTGAAAAGCAGGTTATACTGAAACACCCTCATCAAAATACGCAACAACACAGCTGTACATACGTTCAAAATATTTCACGTGAAACCTAATTTCAAACTTTTGGTTAGCAATTATCATATGGGCTAGACGAACAAACGAATCGAGAGTTAAACTGCTTACTTCGTTGCCCTTGTTAATATTCATGAGGTCAGAATAGTACTGGTTAGCATCAAGGAACACGCGGAATGTTCTACTGTCTCCTGTAACTGTGGGTTTTGGCTCCACACCTATGTGTGTGTATATGTTTGTGTGTGTATATGTTTGTGTGTGCACATGTTTGTGTGGGTATATGTTTGTGTGTGTGTCTGTATGTTTGTGCGAGTATGCATATATACGTACGCAAAAAGAAAAAAAATTTAACCTTCCTCGATGACCTTGCCGGCGTCATCAAGCATCCCTTCAATTTCACAGCCTCTCACATAGGTCAGACCAACCTAAAGAACGTGTTTGCGTGCATATGTGGGAGAATGTGTGTGTGTGCGTGTGTGTGTGTGCGTGTTTAAATATGCGTGTGCGTACGTGTGTGTCAGTGCTGTGGGTATACTATAAACGCATACATGAAGCACAAAATCAGTAATATGTACAATAAAAACTACGACACACGAATCCTCCTCCTAACTCACTTGTGGTATGAATGGCTGGGTGAAATCGAACTTGTAGCCAGTTGGAAACTGTGGCCGGACGGTGACCAGGAAGATGACGTCATGTTTACGGAGGGCTGGTCATTTTAAATCATTATTATTTATAATTATTATTATTATAAATATTATTATCATTATTAATTCTTAAATAAGTGACAATAACAAAAAATAATATTGCAATACAGCACAACATACACAATCAACCAACCGAGCCATTCTTTGTGAAAGTTATTCTTCAGGTTGAGGCTGATGGTGAGGTCTGCTCTCACACAGGCTGGCTGGTTCTCGCCGACGTTCGGTTTGGCCACCTGTGTCGCACATGATGGTGCAAGTAAATGTACAGACACATAAAAACACGTACACACACATATCACAACACATACGCTATCCCATAGACACATAAAAACACGAACACATACACACACACACACACACACATACCAATACATGCACATCCACATAAAAAAAGATACACACATACAAACCAACGCATACACATTACACATCCACATAAAACACGTACACACACATATCAACACATACACATCCAAATAAAAAAGGTACACACACACACACACACACACATACCAACACATACACATCCACCTAAAAACACGTAAACACACACACATACCAATACATACACACCCACATAAAAACACGTACACACACATATCTACACATACACATTTACCTAGACACGTAGAAACACGTACGCACACACATACCAACACATACACATTTACATAGACACACATATCCAATACACACATACAAATAAATATACATTGAAAATATTCAAAATATATATATGAAGTATAATGAAAATATAATATTAGAGTTAACGTCACTGATGAAAATATAATAGAAAAGATACGGGGGATAAAGGAATGAGAGAAAGAGGCAGCCAGAAACAAGAAGTAGAAGGAAATAGAAAAAGAGATAAAAAGATTAAAAGAGAGGAAGAGAGAGAAAAAAAATGTGGAAAAAAGAGAGAATGAAAAATAGACAGACAGACAGACAGAAAGACAGACAGATAGATAAATAGATAGATAGATAGATAGATAGATAGATAGATAGATAGATAGATAGATAGATAGATAGATAGATAGATAGATAGATAGATAGATAGATAGATAGATAGATAGATAGATAGATAGATAGATAGATAGATAGATAGATAGATAGATAGATAGATAGATAGATAGATAGATAGATAGATAGATAGATAGATAGATAGATAGATAGATAGATAGATAGATAGATAGATAGATAGATAGATAGATTCCATCTCAACCCACCTCAACAACTGTAAAAGATGATATGGTGTGTGCCATGCGAGCGTAACCACCAAAATGACAATCACAATCTGCTCCAAGCCTAGAAATGATTAAGAAAATGGATTAAAGATTAGTATTATGATTAAGTATTAATAAAATGATTAAGGGTTAATACAATGATTAACAAAATGATTATGTAATGATATAATAATTAAGATTAACATAACAACTAGCGAATAGCATTGTCAAAAGACAACCCTGTTCGAATGATTAACGAACAAATAATAATAAAAAAAAACGCGTCACGAATTTACTACTTGAAGGCATTGAAACAATGAAGTTGAAAATTTTGTAAGAAAATAAAATTTCAAAAATAAATTACCATGGCTTCATCCTATAGACAGCGTCTTCAACATCTTGTCTAATTTCATCTGTTAAATATTAATAATTACAAGATTCATTCATTCTAATTTACTCTGGGAACGGGTGAACTTATCATAACCAAATATTTATGTAATTTTCAAAATTGAGATTCGAGTGAGTGATATTTTTCAACCTTTGCCATAACTTTACACAAATCTGATACCTCTCATTGAAAAAATCCTTTAAGCAACCAATAAACCAAAAGATAGATAGATAGATAGATAGATAGATAGATAGATAGATAGATAGATAGATAGATAGATAGATAGATAGATAGACAGATAGATAGATAGATTGATCAGTTCGTCAACAAAGAACATAACTCAATCAACAAACTTATGAATCAAGAAACTAACCAATCCGTAAAATTATCCACAGCCAACAACCAATCATTTGCGATTTATAACCAGCCAATCAACAGTAATGTTAATTACATCAAACGAGTAACTTACCACTAATTAACTGATTAAATCATTAACTAATTAATCCATTCAACTAATAATAATTAATAAATTAGACGACCAGTTAACCAAACAGATGGATCATAGAGTCAAACAAAGTCATAGTAAAAACCAGCCAAATATCCGTATAACACTAACAAGTAGACTCCAGTCTGAACAGGTTGAAGTTTCTCAGCAAGTAATCATGAATTGTGAGGAACTGGAGGTTCAACTTCGGCAAGGCCAGACCTCCTGGCAGACGAAAAATAAATTGAAAGTGGTTATAAATGATGATAAAGATGGTGCAATAGTTAAGGCTCTGCTGTTGTAGTGACTGGAACTTATGGCAAGGAGAACCCCATGAAAAATTAAGAAAAAAAAGCAGATACGGACCTGATGCGGCCTGCCTGCTCTCGACACCGGCTGCATACTCCACAGGCACGATATTTTCATTCCAAATAATCTGCTCAGTTGGGTAGAGAGGTGTGGTGTTCAGCTGCTCCAGTTGGGACTGCCTCAGCTCCAACTCGTAAATCTGAAATGATGGTTGCGGTTGCAGTTGTTGGGTGAATGTTTTTCTTATGAATTATTTAGAATATCAGACTCTGATAGGCACAAAATCGGTCGCATCAGGAAATAAAATAATATAAAATGAAAAAAAAAACAAATGAATGTATTTGTGTCTCGGGGTTTCAGTCTCACTTTGTGTTTCTTTAAAAATAACAGCTCTTCCACACATAGCCAGTTGTACACTTATACAGTACACACACACATTGTTTGACTTTTTCTTCAAAAAATTTTCTTTCTCAAAGATGCCTAAACACATACAGACATATACATTTCCCAACATTAAAATTCAATTATTATCAAACGTTTTGACATGGCAAAATTTATACTAAGTTTCTAAAATCACTGTGGACTGAGCCAACAAAATATGAAGCAAAAAGTATAATAGGAGGCTAACTAATAATTCAAGAAGGTAATCGCTGCTGTATTCTGTTGTGTCATGTTCCACATGTTGTTGTAGTTGTTGCTGAGATTGTTGTTGTGATTGTTGTTGTGACTGGGGTGGTTGTTGCATAGGCAGTACTTCTTGTTGTTTCTTATCAGGTTCACTTTCTTCTCGCTGTAGTTGTTGAGATGTTGGTTGCTGCCCTCCGTTTTCTTCTGATTCCATATCACTGACTTGCTGTTGTTGTTGTGGAAGAAGTTGTTGTTGTGGAGAAAGTAGCTGTTGTAGTTGTTGTTGTTGCTGTTGTTGTTTGTTAGGAGAGGGAACTAGGAGCATGGCGGCCACCAACTCGTGGAGCCTCTTGTTCCTTGAGGTGATTGAAAATTTTTTTATTCAACGTTTTTTCAACAGCCACTAACTTCATTTAATTACTTGATTAATAATAATAATTATTATTATTATAATAATAATAATCCAACGTAATTAGTAATAAAATTAAATAAGTTTTCTTCAACTACTGACTTAATTAATTACAGCTAAGAAGTTCTGAGTTAACATTTCAAAAAATATTCATTAAAATTACTAAAGATTATTAAAATTATAACAAAAAAGTCACAAAAAAATTATGAAAACGTCAAAGAAGTTGCCAGAAAAAGAAATCCTAACGGTAATGTTGAAAAATGCTTAATTAGTTGTTTTCGACAGTTGACATTTGAGGCACTCTGCAGGGCCACACTTTTCAATTCTGGAAAGTTCTTGAAGATTGCTTTCTGTTGTTGATGATAATGACGTGATAAAAATAAATACAGCATGACAGTACGAAGCCACTTTAAATAAATGTTAGAAGGCTGAATGCTTAGGGTGACTGGCACAGCTGTTGGACTGGGTTTAAATGCAAGAAGATCCATGCCAATCTCATTGGAATGTGTGATGTATTGGGTAGCGTGTATTTGTGGTTGGTGCCTCTGGAAAATGCTAAAAAGAGAATCTTATAAAAAAAGTTGCATGCCGCAGTATTAGTAAGTAAGTATTAACCTGCAATCTGGCCATCTTATCGTAGCAGCCAATGAGGACCTCACGCTCATTCAACGCCTCTCCTGATTTGTCGTTGATTTCAAACTTTGCATAGAATTGTAACATGTCCATTAATTCGGTGAATAACTTGCCTTCCTCTCGCTTCAGCAAGTTGCTTCCTCTGCATCTGTTTTGCGTATGTTGTTAGTGTTTGTATGATTGCTCTATTAATGAGCCAACCTACTAACCAACCAAACAGCCAACTGACTGATCAACCAGTCAACCAACCATCTAATCAACTGACCAGCCATTAAACCAGCCAACAATCTATCAACCTTATTAGCCAACAGCCAGCCGAACAACCGGCCAAACGAACAAACACAACTAACATAACAATGAAATGCTTGGAATGAAACAGAGTGTTGAACAATCTCCTGGTAGGCAGTTGGGCCAGCAAATCAATCATCCACTCAATGAATCTCTCACAATAATCCACTTTGTGCGGTTCTATGGGACCTTTAGCCATACAAAAATGACAAATATTAATTCTTAATACCAACTAATTAACATAAATGACAAAGGTCAATTCTTAATACTAACTAATTAACATAAATGACAAATACTAATTCTTAATACCAACTAATTAACATAAATGATAATTATTAATTCTTAATACTAACTAATAAACATAAATGACAAATATTAATTCTTAATACCAACTAATTAACATAAATGATAAGTAATAATTCTTAATACCAACTAATTAACATAAATGACAAATACTAATTCTTAATACTAACTAATTAACATAAATGATAATTATTAATTCTTAATACTAACTAATTAACATAAATTACTACAAATTAGCAAAGTTACTCTACTCAGTCAACTGACCGGTAACTTGAAACGACTGGACAACAGTTAGAAACTTGTCAAGGTGGTTAGCCAGGAAGTTCACCTCGACCTCTGCATCTACTTTTTTCTGGCCCTCCAACGAATCAAACGCCTTGTTTAACTTCTTCCAAACTTTTTTGTGTGTCGTGTTTTCTTCGAATATCCATTCTCTTAAGGACTGTGTGTTTGTGTGTGTGTACGTGCGTGTGTGTGTGATGATGGTTTGGTGATAGTTATGATGATATGATGATGGCATTAATGTTAAAAGTGATGATGGTATAGTTAGTTATGATGAAAAAAAACAATGGTCTTGGCCATATTGATGATGATGAGTTAATAAAAAAAAATTTAAAGTTGTTGCAAGCATAAAATCAACAACAGCACAAGCGCAAACAAACAAACAAACACACAAACTGACAAACACACAAACAAAACAAACACCATTAAACCGCCCACCTGATGAATATTCTTCCACATCAACAAAGTAACCAACTTCATCACCTGGTTCCTAACTAAATCACTCCCCTGGTAATATTAACAATTCACATTTTAAAATTCACTTTTTAAAAATATCCTCATCAAATTGCTACATTATCAAAGGTTCTATTGTAGAATTCACGTTGACTATGAGGAAGTTTGAATTTTTGAAATAAAAAAAAATTAATTTTAGAAAATAAATACAAAAAAACACAGAAAAAAAAACGAACAAGACTATTAAATGCGTGTATGAAGAAGGTGATGACGACGCAGAGCTCGGCATATGAGATGTCCTTCTCGAGGCTGATGAGGACAACTCTGTGGAAGAAGTCCTCAAACAATTCACCACTGGACTGGAAGCACTGGGAGGAATAAATAATAATAATAATAATAATTAACAATAATATTATCAATAATAACAATAATAATAATAATAACAACATTTTGGTGCACTGGTTTGAAAGTGTTGAATTATGTAAGGAAAAATGATTAATTAAGGACTGAGTGACTGATGAAAAAATAAATAAATAATATAATAATACAACTAATTTATAAATAATAATAAAAACAATAAATAATATTCACAGACATTCCAGGCTGGAACTCTTTCTCTGAACTTCTCGTTAACCATAGACACGATGCAGAGGACGTGGGCTCGAGTTGACTGGCATCAATAATAATAATAATAATAATAATAATCAAAACAATAATAATAATAAGATGATTATGATATGATTTTATTTCAACATCACCTCTCAATTTTGACTGAAAATTTATTTATAAAAATTAATTTAATAAATGAATATTTTAATAAGTTGTAGAAACTGTGAAAGGTGAATAAAAAATTTTACCTTGATGGTATAATTCGGCCATAAATAATTTTCTAAAAACTGATTGTATTCCAATAGCATAATTCTTCTAGTGGAGTAGCTGGATAATTTTTTTGAAAAATATTAATTATTTATATAAAAATATTCATTCATTTAAAAATGAATGAATGAATGATTTAACAAGTGAATGAATAAATGAATGAATGAAAGAAAGAATTTAAAAAAAAAAATGATATTATATCAGTTTAATATATGACGATTAAGATAATGTTATAAAAATACCACTTTTTCAAGTACGAATAGTAATAAAATTTTAATTAATTAATTATCGTTATTACAAATTGACAATTTTGAAAAAAAATAATAAAGAATGCTAAAAATAAAAAAAAACCAACTGTGTCTTCTTCAGCTCCATTGCATAAATATCATCAATAACCTTGAAGAGGAAAATTTAGAAAAAAATAAATTTATTTTTATAAAAATTGGAACATTAACAAATAAGTGATCTATAAAAAGTTAATTGACCTCACAAGCAATAGTGAATCTTTTTTAAAATCTGAATATCTATTTATCTGATTAATTAATTTATTCCATAGGTATTCCTATGGTATCCTCCATGTTTACAAATAATCATAATGTACATTATGATTGTTTGTAAACATGGACGATACCACAAGAATACCTATCTCACGTTTTACCTAATCTCTATAATACTCTTTCATTTAACTTGCATTTTTTTAAAAAATTGAAAATATTAAAAAAAATCAAGAAAAAATATTAATTCTTCATCTCTTAGCTACAGATGTCAATAACAAATTATCTAACATTTAATAGAGAATATGAAAAAACACCATATGATATTTTCAGTCTAAAGCAGACAAAACACTGAAAGACAAGGATAAAAATAAAAATGCCAGCATTTATATTTTAGAATTACCTGAGCATTATATGGTAGTCTTGGCAAATCACTGAATGGAGCCCAGTATTTTTTTGACAGCTGGAAATAAAATTTAAATATTCATACGTTATGGTTATGTTATGTTAATTACCAGTCTCCATGAATAAAAAACATCTGTGGGTTATTTTTAATTAATCTGAGTGATGAAAAAATGGTCAGATGAAAATGTTTTTTTCACCGTAATTATTATCTATAAAAAAAAATAAGAAATCCCACTGCTTCAGCAGTTCCACTAAAATAAAAACCAAATCAGAAAATAAAATTTTATTATCATTTATTTATTAATAAACAACAAAAATAAAATAAATTTACTTATTATTTAGAAGTTCTGTTAATAACAATACATAATAAAAAGTTAATTAAATTTTAAATTTTAGTAAATTAATCTGAATCACCTGCGTCAATACGTCAGCCTGGATTTGCTGGACAGTTGGAGCGATGTTAAATTTTCTCTTAGTCGCCATGTTACTAATTAATAAATAAAAAACTTTCCAAGCTAATCAATTTGACAAATTTTAAGCGGTTCGGTCCGAATCGTACACGATTGAACGTATTATCGCCTATTTCAAAACATGCATAGAAAAGATAGATATTTATATAATTGCCTTATGTAGTTTAATCACAATTTATGTTTATGCATATTGACGTAATGAAAGAATGTCGTCATGGCAGACATCTCAAGTTAACAATGAATTTTTATACGAAAGTTTAATCACAAAGCATCAAACTCATTTTCATAACAACAAAAGAAAAGAAAAATTCAAAAGCCATACCCATCTTAGGTGATAGAGTAGTGGAACACAAAAAATCAAAATAATTCAAAAATCATTCAAGAAATATCACAAAAAGCTCCGCCATAGAACATTAAAACTCCAGAAATAGACACATCAATTACAAAATATAAGAAAAGCTCAAGCTTAAGAAAAATGAGCTTCTACGAAATATTAGAAAAACATTCAAATCACATTATAATATATAAAGATGAGTCGAGACAAAAAGGATCAGCAGCAGCTGTCATTCCTAATCTCAAACCCTACTCCAACGACTCCCACCATACGCATCGACCTTAACAGCTGAACTGATAGCAATTAACATGGCACTGGATCACATAAAAAGCTGCAAAACAAACCAATTTCTAATTGTCACAGACTCCTTATCCAGCCTCACGGCAATAAATTCTGATAGAAATAGAAACCCCCTAGAAACAAGGAATAAAAACAAAATTCACAACATAATGATAAATAATAATTCAATAAAATTATTTTGGAGTCCTAGCCACATTGGAATTTTGGGCAACGAAAGAGCATACCAGGCTGCCAGCCTGGCACATTCTCTTCCAGTATCAAACATTCCAATACCAATGTCCGATATAAACCCATCATACATCAATATATCGTATCCACGTGGCAACAAAATGGAATCCAGCCAATAACTTTTTAAAAAGTTCAAACCCTAAAGTAAATAGTCCGAATCCAAATGTATTGCATCTAGAAAGAAGATACCAAACGATGTAATAAGAATCAAAATAGGTCACACAAAATTATCTCACTCTTGAATTTACACAAGATCTTCACCTCCAGTTTGCGATACTTGTGGTACAAGACTGACCATTCATCACATTATCACAAAATGTCAAAAATACCAGTTAAACAGAAGAATTCACAACATTCCGACCAATATGTAGCAAATATTTGAGGATCCAATTAGCATTCAAAAAACAATAAAATACTTAGCATATTTAAATCTTATTTAGGAAATTTAAAACTAAACGAAGTCAACAATACCCAGCTTGTGCTGAAACGCTGGAGGTTGGGCTACGGTAAAACAATTTTAAAATACCTCGACGACAACTGTGTAACAATCAATAAAATAAAAAATCGTAATGCGTTATATGTTTTTCAGAGGGACTGGTAGACTACCTGAGCAGTTTCAACATTAATAAGACAGCATAAAATTAATAAATAGCTTGTTTGAGTTCCTCATCGTCGTTTATTTTGTGCTCATTGTTCTGGCCGATATTATTTCAATTATTAAATTAGAAATTTATTAAATTCTTCTCCTATAATTCTTCTGATTATAATTATATTGTAAATAAATTGCTCTCTAGGGTTGCTATCTTCTAATTTTAAACATGAGGTTAAGACGGCCAGATAATGAGCAGTGCGGATGCGGGCGGTTGCGGTTTGGAAAAATCTTCTCTGTTTGGGACTTTATTATTTACACGTACATACATTTACAACGTACATACACACATATATAAACACATATAAGCAGTGCGGATTTAGGATAACGGAAAAAGTAGAGTGTTTTTGAAGGGAAAATTGACATTATAAGCCCATTAGTAAAAATGTTGGCGCCCCCGTGAAAGAAATTTGTGAAATTCCTTCTCCCTGGTCATCAACTTTTCAAAAAACTTCTCTCTCGGTCGTCGACTTTTTTTGCATCTCCCTCCTTTTCGAAAAAATATCCCCCAGGTCGACAAATATTTTGGCCCCCATCTTCAAAGTACTGTACATGGCGGCGTTACTGATCATTGGCAGATCTAGACAGCTTTGACGGAGAGGCAAGACTTTTAAAAATGTTTGACAACCGAAGGGGGGGGAATTAAAAAAAGTGGGGGGAATTGGGAAAAGAGTCCATGACCGGAGGCCCGGAGGCGAGAACTTTCTTTCAATAAAAACTTGGTGGCCGGGGGAATTTTCAAAAACTTGTTTCGAAAATTTTTCTGTGTTCATGGGAGCTAACATTTTTTACGGGAGGCCAACTTTTCTGATAATAGGCTTATAATGAAAATTTTCCATTCAAAAGCTCTACTTTTTTCCGTTAAAACTACGACTTTTACTAACTCTTAACACAAACAACACACTCAACGGAAGAGTGCCACCCGTCCCTCTTCCCCTTAAATCCGCCACTGGTACTGATGATTCTAGAAAAACATCTAACAAAAAAATTAGGCATAATAACGTAATATAAATATCAACATACCAGATCAAACCAGCCAATCAGAGAGTTTGATTTATTAATATGACAATTCGGGTTTACTGTTTGTAACTGACACAAACTTGACTGTTGGCCGTAGAAATTTCTCCGTAATGAGTTCTGCTGTCTGAAATGGTTTGCCTAGGGATCTTCGTGATCTTGCGATGTCTATAGCTCAATTTCGTAAAAAGTTAAAACACTATCCTTTTGCCCAAGCTCATAGTGCTCATGTTTTTCCATTCATTGCATCGCCTTACTGAATAGCTACACAATGATCGTTGGCACCTCTGAGTTCTTTTTGAAGGGCGTTTTTACATGCACTCATAATAATAATAATAATTATTATTATTATTATTATTATTCTCATAAATACATTCAAAATTTCTTTTTTTGAAACTATTCAATCCATCGCCCCCTTCTTTTATTTTTATTGAACTATTTCACTTATTACATTTCATTTTATATTTACTTAATATTATCTTTTATTGAACTCTGTTATGTATGTATAAATATGTTTTTAGATCTTAAAAGATATTTAGAAATTTGAACAAGTAAGATAGATAATATTATAAGTGTAAACTAAGCAATTAGATGCAACGTTAAGCGTCCTTTTGATAACAATTCTTCCTTTTTCATTATGTTTATGAAGCTTATAGAGATTTTTATCCAGATTTTAAGACCATTTTTCAGCTACTAATTTGATTGTTATCTAATTAAAAAAGAAAATTTCACCAAAACATGAGAACAGCTAGCAGTATAATAAGCAATATAAAAAGTGTAAAGTATTCACATAGACTATAAAGTATCACTCAAGGCCGCCAGTGAATCAAACGCATCCCAGTGTTCGAAACCAATCAACAATGCAAGCAGGCGTTAGTTTTAAATTCGGCGTGAAGTTGAAAAATACTTCATTAGCATTCATTTAAACACTTTTTATTTTCTTTCTCCCTCTCTCTCTCTCTCTCTCTCTCTCTCTCTCTCTCTCCTTTTCTCTTTTCTTCCACTTAGATATATAAAATCGAATAATAAACTTGTTTTTGGTTTGTACTTAAGTAATGAGTTGCAATTTAATATCTGCTCAAAATTTTATATTATTCATTATATTTGTATATAACTGTTTGTTTCCATTTTGACCGTTACTGATAATAATAATAATAATACTCACCCCATCATGTTGAGTTACGTGAAACTATTCCTTGCCGCAGTTTACATTGCAGACTTGAGTGATATACGTGCGCATCCGCAACGAGTATGCAACAACCATTATTGTCTACTTTCTGTTCGTGCAGTTGAACCCGGTGATTTTGAGGACAAAGAGACATTTTGTTCTCATAACAACAATCACAACAGGAATAACCACATTTACAATAGCGACATGAAAGCATGGTTATTAGAAATTTATGACGAGTCGATCGAAAAACTTTTAGAAAAATTTCTAAGTGGAAGACATGTGAATGGAAATATTCTATTAAATGTTGAAGCCAGAGGTGGGAATTGGACCTGGTTGAATGGTAAACAATGTAGGTTTCCAATTCAAAAACATCTGACGTGCCTGCGTATTTGCTAACTCACCATTCAAACATTAGCCACATACACACATAGGCTACAAAACACGACAACCATCTTCTAATCTTATTTTGTTTAGTCCGAAATCCAGGCACAGTCGTTTGTTTGCATTAACTGGTGGTTGGACCAGGATGAAAAAAATGTTTAAATAACATGAATGTAGCCATTTCATTCTTGCATACATATACAAATTTTTCGGCAACACTTTTAAATTAGAATCTCAAATTGAATCAATTTTAAATTAATTCTAACCTTTTAGACAACCGCTTTTTACGTAAAAGTTAGAGCTAATAATAACCTAAATTTCATATGCCAGGCTTTTTGTTTTTAGAATTTTTGTACATACTTCAAATTAAATTTTTTTTAATTATTTCTCATAAATGAAATTGATAAATTGAATTGTAAGTTATAGGAAGCATTTTCGACAATGGTGGCAAACCAAATTGGGTGGGTCGCGTTACGAGAACGTATGCTGGAGATGATTTTCAGTTCCTGGCTGACAGCCATCTGACAAAGTATGATGCTCTGTGCAGGGCTGAAAGTATGTGTGTTTGTGTTTATTTATTAGTTGAAACGTTCATTTGTTGGATCAGATAAGATTTAATTTTTTTATCCATGAGAATTTAATTTAATATCTTTTAAGAACGAATAACTACTGCTTATATTTGGGTTATATGAGGATTCGATGTTCAGCATGACGAGGCCACCACACCTTAAAATCACTAATTGTGGATTTTTAAAACAGTGCCAATGATCGAACAGAAATTTTTAAAGCATGTAATTTTAATTTAACGTGTAAATTGCCGTTTCATTGCAGTAGCAAGTGCAGATTGAATGCTCGTTGCTGTCATTCTTTTTACAAATTTCCTCAGCCAATCAATGCAGCCATCCACATAGTTGGCAGTGCAACTCTCAGTGCATCTTTCCATTGAATGAAAATTTCACATGGAATGAAGCTCAAAATGAATGCATTAAGAAGGACGGAGAACTTGCATCGTTTGATGATTGGGACTCTCTCAAATTCAATCAAACCTCTCGAGCCTGGGTTCAAAACCTGTCGATGCCGACGTATTGGATTGGATTAACGAGGAGGGTGGTTAAGTGGCGACATGCAGGTAACTTAAGTTTATTGTAACGTGTGTATTTGACCGTTTTGTAATGTTTGATGAATATTTGAAAATAATTTGATTTTTTAATTGTATTTTTTTCAACCTTTTCTCGGTATTTTAAATATTATTTATTTGTTGTGAACTATTTATTACATGATCGAATTTTTGCCAATTTTTTTCGAATGGTTTCTGTTAATTCTCATTCATTATTAAATCGTTTGTTAGTTGTGTACTCTGATTACTTTGTGACCGTTCTGTGAATGTGTGGAAAAAATATTTTGTTGGATTTTCGTTTATTTTTTGATATTTTTTAAATTTTCAAATTGACCTATACAACACGACGATTTAAAAACCCAACTGACAGGAAAGTTTGTGAAGTACAACAGATGGAGGGCATCTGATTTAATCGTGGAAGCCGAGGCAAAAGAACAAACATGTGTGTTCATGATGAGTGAACATCAAACAACTAACAAACACCAAATAATGAACGAACACCAAATTATGAACAAGAGTTTTAACGTGGGGTGGTTCACAGCTCCGTGCAATCAATCATATCATGTCGTTTGTATGGTTGATAAGCGAAGTAATTTGTGTGTCGGTTGTCTGTATGTGTGTTTGTGTACGTGTGTGCGTGTGTGTAAGAGAGAGAGAGAGAGAGAGAGAGAGAGAGAGAGAGAGAGAGAGAGAGAGAGAGAGAGAGAGAGAGAGAGAGAGAGAGAGAGAGAGAGAGTTTGTATGTGTAGTTTGAGTCTGCATATCTGCAAGTAAACGTAATAATAAGCGAATAACAAATAATTCCTAATCAGAGTTGTTTGAAACCCAGCCAGTTTTCAACTACTGGTTCGGAATCATATTCCCAATAATGATCTTGTTGGAATGTGTAGTTGTCTGGATGAGATGCATGGATTTATTGTGGTTAGTTTGGTGTAGGTAGATAGTTAGTTGATTGGTTTTGTGATATAACTATTTTAGAAACTTATAACAAATTATAACAATTTTCTTCGTCGTTTATTACAATTACGTTTTTAAATGAAAAATAATTTGCTAAGCATTGATAAGAAATTCGCATTGTATATCTTTTTAAAACCTGTAATACTTGAAACTTTACAAATTTAAATGTCTACATATCAAATTTTTCAATTTTAATTGACATGCCTCTCTAACATCTTGTATTTTGAAGTGAGTGACTGGACTACACAAGTGTCTTAAAAATTTTTACAAATCGTTCGTTTTAAAACAGAAATGGTTGCAGCGTAATTCAATTGATTTAACATTTATGAAAGTCTGACTTTTTTCATTACAGTTTCAAACCGAAGACCAACAAAGGACCAACTGACGTGTTGGAACCAACTGTTGAACTATCAGACCAAAAGCCACCCGTCCAACTTAAAATTTCACTTTAGATAAAATTTGTTTGCAGATGTGGTGAAGACAAATGTAACAATTCTTGAAACTTTTAACAAACAATCCTATTTATTATTTTCCCTATTAACTTAAGGTTATTAAAATGTTTCAAAATGAACATGCTTCAAGTGTATATTTCTATTTCATTGTTTCAAAGACGGGTAACCGAAAATTCATTTCTTATAAAAAGTTATCCGAATTTTTTTTTCGAAAATTTTTTTAAAAATGTTTCAAGTTTAATTGTGGGTGGATAGTTTTATGGAATTAAATAAGATCGATAAAAATAAAATGCCTCCATCCTTCTACGTCGAATAATTATGAAATCGATGATTGAGACTTATACATAAATGAGCACATTTTAAAAATGAAAGAGAAACATATTAATATTGCGGATGGCTATCCCATATACATTAACTAAATTAAAATATATGGAATAATCCCATATCCGATAATGAAAAGGCTTCCTGGTGAATATCAGAGAAAAGGGCCAGAAAAAGCAATTGGAGATTTATCAAAAGAGTGGTTAACACGAGTTAAGAAGAAGTGAGAACAAGAAGACGATCGTAAACCAGGGCGTTTAGGTTCAATTAACATATCGGATAAGTACTAAGGAAATAATTTAGATTAAGACCTAAACATTAATTTGCAAATTATAAAAATTATTCCATATTGAAGAAGACAGAGCAGAGATCGAACGAAGGTGAACAACAATGTAAGATCGAGACTACTAGTTATGACGTTGCTTGACAGCATTAAAATTGACGATAACCACGAAGGTAATCACAAACGACAAAATGATGATAACGATGATGATAACGACGACGACGATGATGATGGGGATGATGATGATGACAACCAATAGTTGCCACACGTGTTCTACTGCACTTTATCTTCAAACTTGTAACCCTCAATTATGGAAAGGTTACAAGATCGTACAGAAGATCTGCGGTGTTCTTGAATGTTCTTTAGTCCCGTTCTCTGCCAAGTTGTTTGTGTGATGCACATTCTCGCTCTCTTTGTTCACTGTGGATTTTAAAATATGGACTTCCTAGAAGTCGCTGATCATGTAGGTAGGATCATTATTAAACAAATGTTTATTGATTATGAATTATCATGTTAGTGATATTATTGAAAAATTAAGACAAAAACTGAATAATTTATTACATTCAAAAAAACCAACAGAATATAAATTCATGAAATTCATTGGAATTTTTTAACATAAGAAAAATCAATGTTTTTCGTCCAAATCTTTTCGTTGTAAGCACAACGAACAAAACGCACACGGCAGGGCATGTAAGTACAAGTAAAAAAGAAGGTACTCACGTACGTACAAGAATGTTGTACAGGTATCATAATCATCATCCTCATCATCACACATGTTTAACGATGATCACCATAAATTGTTTAACTCTCAACATTCTGTTTCTTCAATCCATCACACATCCAGCATAAATGCACGTACCTATCTCACTTGAATATTTTACAAACAATTACTTAATTACAGAATACACAAACATATCCATAATCAATTGCACGCAACATATACAATACACACTTATATTGTACATATGCATACTCACACACACACACACACATTAAACGTGCACATGCATACACTCATTGTACTCAAATACACACGTACCTACATAACGCACATTCCAATGACTCTCTTTTAAAAATATTAATTTGTAAAAACAATTTAATTTGAAAACTTTTTAATCGTTTGAGTTGAGAGTTTGACAAATTATACCTTTTATGAAAAAAAAATTATTAAAAGTTTATCAGCATTTGATACCTAACGATTTAGCGATATTATTTTTATAACATAATATATATATATATATATTAACCCCATAAGAAACAAACACACACACACACACACACGTATATATATATATGTGAGCATAAGTTTCTATGAGTTACAAATTATTTCTCGGCCAGTTAACTGCTGGGTCAAACAAAAAATCAGCTTCTGCATCTATGCACGCACGCACACACACACACAAACACGTACACAACCATACACACAATCGGTACTGGCATTATTTCATTGTAGTAATAAATGCACGCATTGGCAGATGCAATCAATAAATTTGTGCGAATTTAAACATCATTCATGTTTACATCACGAATCACATTGCTAGATCCACACATTTTTGTAAGACACAGCATCCACATATGAAGACTTGTACATTCACTCCTATTCCAACACATCCAAGTTGACAAATTAATACTACACTACACAACTCAGTCATGGATTAACATGCATTCTTCACATTGATTTTCACATTCACTGGTTTCCTACTCTCGTTAGCAGTCAACATACTACACATGACTGACTACTCAACACAGATAGAAAAGTGCATAACGTATCACTGATGTTCAGCAATAGATGTACTGATTTGTATGGGGATAATGAATGATTGTTTGAAGATAAGCACGCAGAACACGTGCATCACACGCTCTTCGCATTATACCATCTATTCAATTAACGAACACGTATCCATTTACATATCTTAATTGAATTTGTACTTTCACCAAATCACCCCCACTTGAAACAATTAACACAAAACATCCACACACATAGACTTAGTAACATAATATGTGTGCTCTACTATGTTTATTTTATAGGTAATATCTGTTCCCAGCATCATGGTTTTGTGGTCTTCTAATTTGAAATAAATTTTTTCTTTGGAACTAGTCTTGAATTACTTCCCACACTTTCTAGAATTTAGCTATAAGTTTGCAACAAAAAATATTGTATACACCTGAATCGTTCATCAGTACATCGACACTGTCCACTGTCTAGCCTCAATATTTATTTCATTATTTTTAATTTTTAATTCATTATCATGTTATGATTGAAAAACTTTTGTAGAAATGAAAAATATTTAAAAAGAAACATTAATTATTACGATTATCATTACTGTTAAAGCTATTGTTATTTTGGTTAGGATGATTTGAAAAACGGGTCCTGTTTAATCTTGGGTCTATCTTTCCGGAACCAAATGATCTCTGAGGTTGACGCTGCGGTTGATGTTGTTGCGGTTGATGATGTTGTGGCTGGCGTTGTTGAGGTTGGTGTTGTTGGTACTGGTTTGGCTGGTGCTGTGGCTGATACTGTTGGTATTGTGGTTGATGTTGTTGTAGCTGATGTTGTGGTTGATGTTGTTGGTGCATATGTTGTGGCTGGTGTTGTTGGTGCTGCTTCGGATGCTGTTGAGGTTGATGCTGTTGGTGCTGTGATTGATGTTGCTGGTGATAATGCTGCTGCTGAAATTGGTGATTATCCTGATAAGATTTTTGAAAAGTTTTAGGATCTGGAAGGAAGGATCCAAATCGTTTTCTAGGTTCTTGATAATTAGAATCACGAGGCGAATTCATACGATGCCTTGGCTGAAAATCGTTGGATGGAGGGAAAGGAACTTTTGGTCCCCTGAACCGTCCAGAAAAGTTGGGACGAAACTGATCGTTAAAATTGTTGCCAGTGTCATAGTGATCACCATGATCAAAACGAGGACCGGGCTGATCATGGGAAGAATGACGCGGATCAATCCACTGGGGAGGCAGAGGGTTGTGAAGAGGAGCAATTCTTGGACTAAAATGTTGAGCAGGGCCTATCATAGGATTAGTTCCCAAGCGAGAATCAGTAATGTTGCTGCTATCAAGGTTACTATCGTTATTGTTTTCATTAGTATTGGTGGAAGGCTGATTTTCCGGTTCCAATTTGGAAAGGTCATTTGACGGCGAAGCATTAAAAATGGGAAGGTTCAAAGTGGCTCCCAATCCGATGATGTTTTTGTTCTTCAGTTCCTCAAGCAGTTGAGCTACTTTGGGATCCGCCATTGCGCTGGTGATGGTTTCCGACAGTTTTGAACTAGGCAGAATTGATGTCGTTAAGCTTGATGTTGGAGAAGAAACAGCCACCTCTTTAGCTGTCGTTATTACGCTAACTTCTGATGAGATTATTTTCAACGGATCAATCGGCATTACACTAACTTCTGATAAGATTTTGCTCGATGGATCAGTTGGCATCACTTTAATGTCTGATAAAATTTTGCTCGATGGATCAGTCGCCGTAGCGCTAATTTCTGACAAGATTTTGCTTGGTGGATCAGTAGCCGTAGCACTAATTTCTGACAAGATTTTTTTCGATGGACCTATTGCCGTAGTGCTAATTTCTGATAAGATTTTGTTCGATGGATCAGTCGACGTAACGGTAACATCCGATGAGATTTTGCTCGATGCATTAGTTGGCATGACTTTAATTTCTGATGAGATTTTGCTCGATATATCAGTCGGCATCACTTTAATTTCTGATAAGATTTTGTTCGATTGATTACAAAGGTTCGTTTCGATAGTTTTAACAGATGGAGCAGTTATTGTGGTAGAAGTCGAACTAAGTGAAGATAAAAGTAGTTGTGCACTAGAGGAAGGAGATAAAACGAGAGGAATTGACACAAAAGATGATGGAATTGAAGTACTGGATGGAGGGATTGATACGGATGAAAGATGAAACATTGTGGTAGCTGGTGGTGATATTATAGGCAGCGACTGAGAAATTATAGGTAGTGGCATTGAAATTTGTGTTGGAAGTGACGCCGTGGGTGTCGGAGCTAATGTAACAGGCTGTGGGGTAGAAATTAATGGAACCGGGATCGATTCTGGCTGATGAACTACAAAAGAAACAGAATTAGAAGCATTTAATGCTGGTGTGATCTGTGGAAACTGTTCTGGCTTATCAAGTGAATGAATGGGGGCTACGTTTTGTTTCTCCAATCTATTCAGTCTTGGATCTTGTCTATTAATTTTAGTATTGATGTGTTTCTGCGGTGGCATAGCGGGCTTCAATTGAAGGGATTTATTATTTTCTAGTGTTATTTTTCGCAAGTTTTCATCATTTTTTTTATCTTGAAGCTCAGCCATGTTCTCAAATATGCTGAGCAGCCGACTTGTACCTATGACATGCTTATCCTGATTTTGTGATTTTGGAGTCGGCAACAGATCGGGATTGACGGACTTGGACTTGAATCTGATTCGCGGATCCCTGATATTAGGAACTTGTTCGGCGTCAGGCTCAGGAGAAGCAGGAGCTTCCATGAAAGTGAGATATCCAGCAGTATCCATATTAGGAGGTTGATTGGTGTTTCCACTATCCGTCAGCTTCGATGAAAACTTTAACGCTGTGAAACCTTTTTGAAAAAAGATTTAACGTTAAATATAAAATTGTATTTCATTTCAAAATGTTTCCCGTTCATACTAGACTAAATTAACTTTGTAGTTAAAATCTAAATAAAACTCCAGTACATCATGCACTTATTTGACTTTGTTTGATAAAAATTTTTTTTAAATTCAAAAAATCGCGTTTTGACTGGATTTGTTTAGAACCAACGTTGAAAATTTCCAGCTATGGATGATTTGCTGACAAACAAACAACACAAGTGAATCTTGTGGGCAGCATTCTGGTGAACTAGTCCTGACAATTTTCAAAAATATTATTTATAATTTTCAAAAACACACCGTTAAAAAATTTCTCAAAATCATGATTAAACTTCAAAACGACGATTTGTTTTAAAGAATTTTTACCATGTTCTCTAATGAAGAAGCTGGGCACGATGAAAAGTTCTGTACAATCGGGTAATAACAAATAAGCGACCTAGAAAAGGATGTGTCGTGTTTGAAATGAGAGGGATGAGATTAAAATTTAACGTAAGAAATGTATCGAAAGATCACGAAGTGAGAACTACCATTTCTGTTTCAAGAAGGTGCTCGACAAACAAATTGAATTCAGCGTTGCAAGTTGTGTTGGGATGTAAGATGCCACACAAGAAACTCCTGCCGCCATATACCTGTTCCCGCTTGTCATCTAGTTTGCCGACGCCGGGAAGAACGCGTGTCCTCAAATACACAACTGATACCTTCTCTTCTATGCGTACCTCCCAACCGCTGATGAAAAAAATAATAAATTTATTCATTTAATTACCTCGCCAAATATGTCGTTTGTTCTAAAGTATTGCGATATTCCATAAAACAGAGCAAGGTACTGCGATGTTAATGCGGCCACCGTATGTCGTGTACTGTTTTAAAGAAATACAACCGCTGTTGAATAAATTGAGTAGAACCATGACACCACGAGACAATTTAATGCAAATTGAATTATAAACATTAATACGAACCTTTAGACGAATAGATCGTTTTAAAATATTTGATAAGTTATTAAATATCATTAACAGATTTGATTCGTGTATTTTATTAAGTCATTCTTAAAAATTAATAAAAAGATTGAAAAATTACTTTTTAAACATATTTAGATGTCTACTTTCAAAAAAATCCACCATGCTTAAAAATGTAACAGTGCATTGAGGTGAGAGCCAAAAGGCGACCCTAAAAATCAAATAAGCTCACGTGGAAAATGGGTAACTGACCTATCACGGTTCAGTGCCACGGTGACCCAATTTAAAAAATTTCAAGTAACAAATGACACCATTGCGATGCCCACACACATTATTCGTTTGTCGACCTCATACACACACACATACACACACACATACATACACGTCCGTTAAACGTCGTATATGTAGTCTTAACAACGCACCAATGACAACACCTACAGTGTTTAAAATAAAATGAAAATAAATTAGGGAATAAGATAGTACACACAGAAGACTGGTATCCAGGAGAGGACATGATGACTGCAAGATCGTGGGACCAAGTGAAACTCCACTGACGTAAAAGGATCCTGACCAGATCTGCTGGTCTTTAGGTGGCAACGTGGGAAGTAAAAGATTGGGACTGTTGTGAGAGGTGGGCAGAGGAACATTAACTGTTAAGGCCTTATTGAGAGAATCGACGATATCCTTTGCGTGTGTTCTGCTCTTTTTGATGGGAGATTCCTTCTTCGTTGTTTGAGGCGCTTGAAGCGACGATCTTTTGCCCGATCTGAATAAATTAACATAAAAATTAATTAATATAAGTATTTGAAAACTGATCGAATCCGAATCTAAAGCCAAAATCACAAGTTACACATGGAATGAAGAAGGATGTACCCGCGTGGTTGAGCGCAAAGATTTTCTAGTATATATAACAAAAACAATGGACATTTTTTAAAGAGAAAGCAACAGTTTAGACGCAATCTAAAATTAACCAAACCGAGTGTTCTAACATTTTTACTAAGAATTGATTGACAAAATGTATGCTTACAATTTCGCTAGTTGATAGGTTAATAATCTCATTCATTTTGCATAAAATTCCTCACCTAAAATGATGGAATATAATAGGACCAGCCACAAAACATTTGTTGGCTTCCCCATTTTCACGGCTCATCTAAAATTTTAATTTCACTTAAATTCACTTTGTGATTTTTTCGTACATTATACGATTATACTAATTAACTTTAATTAAAAAAAACAACAGCATGACAGCAAGATGGATGGAAGTCTAAATGTCACACAATGCCAACCGCGGAATCATTAAAAATTTTGTCAATCAAAACAAAATATCACCACTGCAATCACTTGAAAGCTCATTCAAGGCATTACCATATAATAACCAAGGGTGGACAGGCAACGATAGATGCCAACAGCGAACGTCGCTAATACATCATCAACACTACGAACGTTTAAGATCGAAAAACCGCTGTTTTTCTTTGTTAAAAACAAAGATAAATATACTTCCCACCTTACTGATATAATATGTTATGGATATTATAAAAATATATTAAAACCAATAAATTATAAACATATTTTCCCCATCACATTTCAATATAAAAAAAGATAAAATGTGAGCCAATTAAACCAACCTAGCTAAGGAATAATTTTATATAGGAAGTCCCATATATATTAATTAATTAATTAATATAAATGCTGATAATTTCTCGAGTAGAACGCTCAGGATAGCTGGATGTTCAAGGTTCAACGAGAACATCCTCGTCTATGAGGATAATTTTTTCTTTAACGTTCAATCATATTAGACAAGCAACCATAGGCTGAATAACAAACTCAACAACTGCCAAATAATAATGAAGAAGTTAGATTTGTGTTTTCGTCGACCTGTCGCAAGCTATTTACTGAAATGTGCGTGAATCTTTATCTAACTTTGAAACGTGCACATGACTATCGTTCCAACTATGAAAATGAACTCATAAAAGCAATTTAATTTCATGCATCAACCAATCCCACAAGCGCAGTACGGATCTTCGCTGAAACATGTACAGAAATCAAAGCAATTAACGATTGAATGATTAACATCGGCACACAAGAATGATATAAACGCAAAATATGCAAAAGTCATTAACTATAGAAGAACGTGCAAGTGTTTTACCCAATGAAGAACAGCAGGCAGGTCGATAGGAATGAATGGATGGATATTTTTGACTTAGGGTGTTAAGCCATGCACCCAAACAATTTTTCATTACTCATGTTAGACAATGGTTAAGTGCAAACATAAATTTCACTAAAATAAAACATACGACACATTTTATTAGAATTCCCCAAATGAAATAAGAATGGTAGAGCATATTTTTTTAATAGAAAGCGAAGAACTTTAATGACATGATTAATCTGATAGAAAATAAATGAAAGTAGCAGAGAAGGTAGAAAAATACTTATGCTTGTTAGATGAGTGTGCAAGCACTTCCATCTTGCTTGTTCTCTCACATCGAATGTTGACAACAGCATATGGAAGCAAATGTGCTGGACTTGTAGAAAGATCTGAATCCTCTGTGTACTCGTACATATACAGCTGTTGTTTTCAAGTTAACCAAATATAAATTTTAAAATTATTTTCCATCAAATTAGCAACCGATAACAATGGGCAATATTTTTAACAAATGACAAAATTTGAAAAGTGGCAAGATTTAATGAAGTATGTCTGTCGCATAAGTAGAATAGGTCATTGAAAAATGAAAACAAGAACAACGCAAAAAGAAAGGAAAGCAACAAACTTGAGTGCACTCAAAGAGATCAGCATGTGACGTGACATTGGCATCTATGCTGGATGCTTTCAACATGTGGCAGTCGAAGTTTGGAGATGGTTCAAGGAGGATGTTACTTCTGTCCGCCATCAACTTTGCCCTTCCCTAGGTTCAATTCAGCTCAATTTATCAATCCTCATTAGAAAATGAATTAATGAATGTGAAAGTACATGCAAACTATATAGAAATAAATTGACTTTTTAAGATCAGCAACATGAACAAAATAAATTAAAGACTAACCTTCATCATCTTGACAACGAGAAGTGACCCAGATGATTTGTTCTTCATTGGCTTGGCACTCAGTACATCAGCATGCCTGCTCAAATACACGCCTTCAAAACGGAGTTTGTAATAATCATAACAATGCATCACGTTAAAATAATGAAAATGTGAGTTCCCATCAGCTCAAAAGACCAACTGATAACAAAGGTGTGTACATTTACATAATTACACCTTTATTTCTGATATGACTGAGATGGAATTCCTTCCTATGTCTTTTATTAAGGAACTTTTTATTATCTCAACAACTTCCAATATTCAAATATTTTCAAATCTTCCATCCGTCAACTACCTACAAACAAATCTCTACAAATGTTATTTTACTTGTTAACATCATACTAATACATTAACTTTATTGTTCATCCATTTTTTCCTTTTTCTCTGCTCATAGAGATGTTAGTAAAGCAGAAGAGGACTTATCCAAATATGCACCCAATAAATTGACAAAGAAATAATTTAAAGGCCTTTATTTAAAATGCAGACAAAGAAATATATAATTTTCAAATCAGTTGTATTAAATGTTTTTGCATTACAAGCAAGAAATGAATAAACAATCTCATTTAAAAGTTGCCCATTAATGTTTTAGTTCACTTGGAATAGTATTATGCATACATTGCAGTATTGATTAACAGATATTATTTAATTAATATGATATGTAACATCTGGTCAAAACTTAGAAGGAAAATTATTACAATTAAAATATGAATAAATAATACCATGAGTTATAAAATACCTAATTTTGGATCTCCCAGACATGTCAATGATGAATTGTTTGACTGCAATCCTTCTCTGCATGCCTTCACAGCCTAAAATAAAAAAGATGACTCTATAAAGTTATAACAAACTACAAACGTCACAAAAATAAATATAGAGCCATGAATAAACTTGAATGACGTGTCGTGCTGAGACTACTACTGTGCTGCAAGAACAAATATGGTTTCCCTATTTACACACTGCTGCAGAGGCATAAAAAAATCAACACTGCCTCTCATAAAGCAAACAGGATCATCCTTTGTTCTCAAAACCTTTTAAATACTTTCTCTTCCAATACAACAAAAATCTCTCACATTTCTAACAATTATATCCAGGCTCTTCACTTTATTGTGTACACGTAATATGTACATTGCATTCAAAGTACTGAGGTATTTAATGTATATTATTAAGTACATTTCAATCCAGCAGGTCGACAACACTTTTCATCCAAACTTGGAGCAGTCATTTCCAAACTCCGGTTAAAATTTAAACCCTAAAAATCTAAAACTTTAATGAAATCTTTTGTTAAAGACGATTGTTTTTTTTAAACTTAATGTGAATAATTTAATCATTTTAGAGAAATTTTTCAAGCACGAGAGTTGAACTTGTAAAACTTTAGATTATAATGGATTCAATAAATAAAGCCACAATATTTCATTCTAAAGAAAGTAACCTATAAAGAAAAAGAAGTGTGTAGACAGCAAGCTCTCTTTGTTATATCCTCAAATAATTCATCATTTTAATGCTATTTATTATATGACACCATATATTATAACCATATGTAAATAGTCATCATAATGCTTCAACACAGAAACATACTGACAGAAACAGGACGTATTTACACGTGGTTTTATGCTGCTATTTATATCTTAAGCGTCAGATCTTGTTCAAATTATTTTAAGCACACAATTACATGATAAATTATATTTTTACCTAACATTATTTCTGAGTAATCACCGACCGACACCATACCTCCAAACGTAAATCAATTATATCATCCAATTATATCACTTATAACACCTAACTTATACAAATCCGTATTAATTATATTACTGTTTCTTGGAGTTGCACTAATTGTGACAAAGTTTGTATCCAGCTTCTTTAAATGTCACTCATCTTTTTTTACTTTCTTTTTTTTTACTAGAAAACTGTTTTTTTAAAACAATAACTAAATGCTGGCTTAAAATAATGGTGCTTGTGTGACATGAAAAAATAAGACAAAACAATTAAAAACAGCCAAGAAGATCATTTTCAAAGTTAAAATAAAAACCAATGTTGAAATGTTCCATATATTTGTTTACACAACCTTTAAATCATCTTCAAAAAATAAGAAACCAAATGTCTCTTGCAATTCTTTTTCTGAATAGCCACTGGTTCGCATGCGTTTCTTTTTATCAACAAACTGTCAACGGTAGTAAATCAATTAATGAAAAAATCAATGTGTTAATTTGAAATGGTTCCAAATTAAAAAATACCTTGCTGGTTAGTTCTGAATTAATGACAATCCTAGGACGAGTGTAGACAAAGTTTTTGTGGCTTTCTTTATCTTTGTAGCTCAAGTTGATAATCCTCATGAGATCCTTCATTTCAGGGCTTGATATTTCAACTCGATTGAGGATTTCTTCAAAATTATATTGAAATAAAATTGGCATGAGAAAAATTGTAACAAAAAAAATGATAATAATTAAATGAAAATAATATGAATCCTAATAACATTTTTAGGAATTAAAGTTTAAATTTGTAACATGAAAGTTGAAATAATTTGCATCAAAATTCAATAGAGTACTTTCAAGCAACAAATTTCAATAGATACTTGGTCGGGTTTAATCATTTTTTCAACCCATTAACTGCTAGCATTGCTTAATTTAAACAATTTACACTTTTTTGTCTATGGCTATATAAACAACAGAGAGAGTATCTGTGGAGTATATATCTGTAGAGTAGAGCTACATTCAAATTTCTAGTCCATTAAGGTAAAAACATTGATTGATATTACAAATTTTATTGCCCAATAAAATTTTTTTCAATCTTTTTAAAAGTTTTGATTTTGTCAAGTTTTCCTTTAAATTTTGGCACTCGTTCAGAATGTTTATAAAAATATCTTAAATTCAAATCCATATTTGTGCCAATAGGTTTTATTTTCATATTTCAAAATAAAGATTTGTAAATTAACTGCAAAATTATGTATGAATGATACTGAAAAAAATCATTGCTTTTTTGAAACTTTAGCAATTTGTTCATTCAATTTTTTATGTGCATTTTATCAAATAAAAATTAATTTATATAAAAAAAATTTATTTATATAAAAAAAATTTTTTTTTTCAGGTGCTATATTTTGCACAACTCTGCAAAACAATTTAAATCTATGTTTTCTGTTTCAGTCTGCAATATTTGTCCATGTGTTTGTTGAAGAAAATACCTGCATCAGAATACGACAGTGAAGAAAGAGGTAGTGTTGATTACTGGATCTGGTAGTGAAAGTGATGACAACTTTTTGGTGAATATGGGTTATTGTCTTACTACAGACAATTTTTATACATTCCCCAGAACTAAATGATATTTTGTTGAAACACAAAACAGACACATGTGGGACATAGAGGCTAAACAGAAAGGAGGTTCCAAACTATTTACAGAAGAAGCTAGAAAAAGGTAAAGTTTTAGCTTACCAGAGAGGAAAGATTTTTGTCATGAAATTGAAGGATAAAAAGATGTTTCTTTATTTTCTAACATCCATATCCCAGAAATGCTGGAAATTGAAAAGAAATAAAGAAAACTCCCAAAGTAGTCAAAGATTACAACAATTTGATGGGTGGTGTTAACATAGCAGACCAGCATCTTACAAGTTATCCAGTAATCAAAAAGCAGGACAAAAGGTATTATTTTAAAATTTTTATCCATTTTTATTGTTAGCCTTAGTGCAATTGCTTAATTACAAAAACATGAATTTAGCTTCATCCTTGAACTTATAATTAAAATTACATTTGTCATTTAGTGATATCAAAACAAGAACACAAGTACAATGATATGGGTGATAAGTATGACAATGGCTTTGTTACCCATCATAAATTATACACAGAGAAATGTTTTGCTCAAAAGTGAAACCAAAAATAAACTATACCAAACTAATAATTATATGAACATCTCAAATATGCCAACAGATTGAATTGAAGATTTATAGCGTCTATGACGAATTACCTTCAAAACATTACGACTGATACCTGTAATATCCTTCAAATAAGCCAGTAATGAATTCAGAATTAAAAACATCTTTGGCCCAAAATGAGATTTCCTGTAGCCGTAGTGCAGACAAAGTCACTATGCTTCGCTGACCTCGACTGAGCTTGAACAGAATCATAAGACACTGATTTTATCTCTTTTATATATTCTAGTGCCAAACAATTTCTGACCATGAGCAAGATTTTAAATTCAATGCTTTTCTTTGCAGGTAACCAGTGAAACTGGTGGTACAACTTTTGCAGAAACATGCATTGCATTTCACTTTTTTTATTACAAAGAGACCGATTTTAGAAAGATGGGTGAACATGAACAATAATAGAACATATTGAACAACACAAAATGAAAAAAATAAAAGCAATTAAATGGTCTTATAGCATCATTGCCGAAGTTATGAATAAAAATAAGTAAACTATAAAAAACAAAAATATTATCGTCTAGCTCAAGGTCAACATCTAACAAGAACAATTTGGTGTCTGAAGACACTTAATGAAAATGGGTGAATGTGTTGTTGTGGAACAAAATAGAAATTGCTGTGAAGCGTAGGCTTCAGGTAGGACCTAGTAGAGAGTCAAGCAATAGATCCTAAAACTCTAAATTTTTACATTTTTACAAATGCTAGCAAACATTCATTAGCAAACTTCAGTTTAAAGCTATTTTTTATAAACAAAAAGTATGACAAATTGAATGTTTTTATGAAATAATGAATAGTTTTAACACCATAATATTTACATTTAGTAATAATTGTGAGTTGTTTAGCATCAGGGTAAGCTGGGTTGAACAAAGACTTTAGACAAATAAACTTTTAATGTTTGAAACTTGGAAAACTTTTGCTTCTTCAGCATCGTTTTTATTACAACCCCGGCAATCCCTTACTTCCCCTCGTACGATCCACCTAAGTGGTCACAGTGACCATGAAATTGAAATTACAAATTGAAATTACAAATCAAACATAAATAAAAATCGCTACCACTTCACTTCCTTTTTTACCTTGTTTTGGAGTTTTCCTTTTTGGTATTGTAAATTGTTTTAACGTATCCAAATCGATGACATCATTTTCCAACAAATATTCTGCTGTATCTGATGGCAATTGTGACCGCTTTTTATCGCCAAACGAACCCATTTCACTGTCCGCCATTTTTTCGGAGAATAATTACAAAAATGCCGCGTTGCCTTTAAGTAAAACAATTTTTTACAAAATATATTTTAGTAAAGCCAAATTCTAGCAGCGTTTTCTGTGTGTATGGAATATTTTAATACGATAAAACCATATACATTTAATTATAAAACTTGTTTACAAACAACTATATGATTATAATTAGACCAAACTAAATAAAATAAAATTTTGAAAAGTTATTTTAATTAGCTTACTATTCTACATAATCTATGAAATTTTAGACGAAAGCATAGAAGATAGAATAACATATTATTAGCGTTCTTTTCACAGATATATATAATATATCCAAGATTCTATTATTCTATATTTAATATGTTATTCTCCTATTTGTAGAATATATTTTGAAAACACTCTACCACAAGCAACTTGTGAAAGATAATGTCTAAACAAATTGGTAAGCCAGGTACACATTGGAATAAGCATGACTATGCAAATGAAACGTTCGCAGAACAAAATAACAACAGACAACCTATCTTTAATAGATTTACATTTGCATAGATGGTCGTTGCTGTTTTCAACTGATGGAATAGGATGGCATACATATTTTCAAGTAATTCTATTCTTCTGATTCAGATTTTTGAATGTCGTCCTAGATTGAGTGAGATGCTTCTTCCATTTCAAAGATCAAATCTCATCCATCTTCAAGAGTTGTTTAAAAATTTTTTAATTTCTTTGGAAAATCCAATAATTCAGTTTGTAAGGATTTTTTGTTACGGCGCTATTATTATTACCCTAAGTATTTATCAGATATATTAATTGAACCTAAACGCCCCGGTCTACGATCGTCTTCTTCTCTCTTCTTCTTAACTCGTGTTAAACACTCTTGCCAAATCTACTTTTGCTTTTTCTTGCCCTTTCATCTGGAACTCTCTACCTACTTCTCTGACTACTTCTCTGACTACTTCTCCATCACTTGCGAAGTTCAGAGCGGATCTCAAGACCCATCTGTTTTCAAAATTCATTGAGGAGCGCTGTTAAACATCGCGGAAATAGCGCTTTATAAGCTAATTGATTGATTGATTGCTATCAAAATTTTCTAGTAACCTAGTGAAGTGTTGCAGTGCATTGCATCACCGGGCTTTCTTTCAAAATTTCTGCAAAGTTTATTACATGTAAACAAGATGAATCAGCTTAAAGACTATCATGCTCACAGTCACATGATCTCTTCTTTAAACTTGATCCCATGTTGTGAATATTGACACGAAATTTATCTTTCACACTTTCAAGGAGTTGGTTGGCCATATATACTTCTTTATTCTTTCAAAACAGATTGCATTTCAATATTTTTAGTTGCTTGAAAAATCTAATCACAATTTTGCTTAAAAATTAATACGTTTCAGGTTATAACCACTGGCGTCGGAAGCTTATTTTATAAATGTATTTAGATTTATGTATAATAATTTTTGCCGTTTCAGATTGGTTTATTTCAATGCAAACTATTATTTGAAGCTGTCATATAAACAAAACAAACTTAATTTTTGTTAAAACTAAATATATAAAAAATTTTCTTCTTTTGGCAGTTGGCAGTTGCCGGGGCCCAAGGGAATTTCCCTGTCACCCGGTGGCCCAATCCAAGCCTGGGCTGTGATGTTTGGAAGCAATTGCCTACTAATACGAATAAATTGATGTATATACAAAATGGGATGAACTTCAGCGCCGTCAAAACACCTTTAGATAACGGAAAAATAAACTTTTAATCTAATTTTATTTGAACCTAAGCAATAAATAAGCATGTTTCTTATAAGAAAGATAAATAAGAAATAAGATAAAATAAATAAGCATGTTTCTTATTCTTAGCCCACTATGAGGAAGTGCATTATACAATGTAAGCCAGTGTTAAACTTTTGAACACCAGTAAATCTTCGTGAACTGATTAATTATTTTTACAATTTGATACATATCATCAAAATAGTTATGAATAAGTTTGTATTTTGCATAGACACGAAATTCTACAAGTCGATAAAATCCGTTATGTTTCCGGTGGTGCGTGTACGCACGTGTTAAGCAACCGGCAAACAAGCTAATTTAATGACTAATTTATCCTTAGCTAATTTCAATTTTTTACACCAGATGCGATCGACGTTTTAAATTTCAGTTTATCTGATAAATATTTTGGAGCCAGACCATTTAGTGATTTGAATACTGTGACAGAGATTTTAAAAACAATTCTTTTATTTATGGGCAACCAATGCAAATCCCTCAGGATCGGTGTGGCATGATCATACCATCGACATCCAGCCACAATCCAGGCAGTACGGTTTTGTATCGATTGCAGAATTTTGATGTATCTAGCCGGGAGTCCATAAAATAAACTATTGCAATAATCGACACGTGAGTGCACCAACGCGTGCGCCAGAGTCTGCATTGCGTTTTTATCAAGTGATTCTCGAATTTGTTTCATTCTTCTAATCTGTGCCAAGCATGATATAGAGATCATTTTTAAATGAGATTTCATTGTTAGGTTTGAATCAATTATAAAACCTAGGTTCGACACTGCTTTACAGAAATCTATTTTTTATCATTAATAACAACTGAATTTATATCCAAGTCCGCCAACTGCTGCCAGGTACCAATAGGAAAAAATTTTGTTTTACCCTGGTTAAGCTTCAATTCATTTCTCGACATCCACAGATTAACCTCCGCCATACATTCAATGAATCTCGTAATCTCGTCTTGAAATAACTTCGGTTTACCTGATAACATAATTTGAATGTCGTCTGCATATGCATGGCTTTTAAAATCATATGAATCAATTATCTTCAGCACATCAGATGTATAAAGCAGAAACAATAAAGGACCCAAAACAGATCCCTGCGGCACACCAGAGCGAACCACACTGACGTAGGACAAACTCCCGTT